TTATACGAATGCGATACTTTTGCACAGGATAAGTGTGTAGTCACAGCAAAACCTTCAGCATCCCCGGCACCGATCAAAGTCTCACGAGGGAGTCCGAACAGACTTTGTCCGCCAACGAAATGGAAGACCACACGCACCGCGTTTACCCCAACTTTCCCCTCCTGCTGAAGTTTCTGAACATCGAATCTGCGATGCACGCTTTGTATCTACCGGGAAATGACAAAAGGGGCCAGTATACTTTCGCGGACGTAGACCCCCGGAATGTCGAGGTCGTGCGAGTTAAATTCGAGGAGACGCACAGACACAGAGTTACAGTTTATTCCGAGGAGGGGAAGGAATTAGTAGCACCGAAGATTTATTACCGTTCGGTCCCCGTTCCGGTATACGATGTTGCAAAGCGGTTGCCTTGGTACCCCGCCCTGCTGTATGCATTACAAAAGTGTATCGTACTGGTAGATGAAATCGCATGACAAATCATGTCCGCAAGAACATGAGGAATGGAATTTTTCATGCTGATTTACCTTGGGAAACAGATTTATAATGCAAGACTGCGATTACTACGAGTACGATACTTTTGCACGGCATATGCTGACGGCGCGACCGGGCCGGCTCATTTCGCAAATGCCGGGGACAAACTCCCGGAGAAGTGCTTCGACGCATGTAGCATTGGCTTATCATATGCAAAAACGTCCCCACCCCATAGTCAAGTTGGGAACGTAGCAACACAAATCCAGAAGTTTTGGGAGCCACGCATGACAAGTTGCAGTCCTGAGTGTAGTGGATTTTGGCAAGGACAGCCGCATCAGAAATCCATCTGCTTATCCCGTTTGCAGCATTACAAATGCCAAAACTTGATTGAAAATGCCTCCCTTGGGGACGCGCATGACAAATGTTCCTGCAATTGCAAATCAGCATTACAACTCTGGGGTGGGGACGTTTTTACACAGGATATGGTTCGCAGAAAGGTTATGGTGACGAGATCGCACTTCCCTGCGCTGGCGTACCACGTGCGCCTGCCTCGGGAGCCGTTGGAAGCCAGGACCGGGGAACGCTTCGGCCGCGGCCCGTTGATGATCCTGCCGGGCTCCGACCGGGCCGGTGCTTTGATCGGCGCAACGTTCGGAGAAACTGGCATCCGCAAGACGAATCGAGCAGAGTACGAGGCCCATAACCCTCAGGCCGCCTGCACGCTTGCGGGAGACCGCAAGTTCGAGGTGCTCAGCCAGGCGCTGCAAATTCTCCCAGAACTGAAGGAGACCAGCCGGGTGTTTTTCGGCGACGACGGGCAGGCGGACTACTGGGTCGCGGAAAAAGGACTAAATGCAAACCTGCTTAGCTTCGCCGCCATCAAGCGCGTTTGGACTCTCGACAAAGCCACCGGGCGTAAAGGGTTCAAAAATGAAAAGCCGTTGCAACCGCCGACTACACGGCAAATTTACTGGGTTGCTGAGGGCAACCTTTTGGGCCCGAACGAGGCCGTGCCCGGGGGAAAAACAGAAACATATGCATTGTAAAAATGTCTGGGTCTGGGAGGTTGCAACTTGTGATGCTGTGTGTGGATTCCAAAAAAAATTTGTATTGCATGACCAGCAACAGGTGTCCAGTTCTTGCTACGTGGAGGTGGCGTTTCTCATGCGGAATAGGCATCAGGAATCCCTCTAAAAGTCTGTGATGCTAGGTCGTGCATTACAGGCATTCTGGGTCATGCAAAATATGCATGATCTTCCAGACCCAGACATTTTTACATTTGATAAAACAAGCCCAGGAACATCAAATTACTCGACCATGACCAGGGCTAATTTAGCCCAAGTGAAGCGTTTCTTCTACTTCGACATTTATGCGCCGGTGCCGAAGACGATTGCGGACACGATGTACGATCCAGAGTACCCGCGGGTCGACAAGAATTGGGACGGCGTGGAAGACTTTCAGGAAACACTGTGCTTGTCGGAAACAAATATTTTAGCGCTGTGTTCCCCAAATCTGGGAACAATCGACAAAGGAAAACTCCCTTCCCTGCTCGCCCAACTTCTGGTTTCCGGCTGGATTCCGGGGGCGCAGAAGATGCAGGCAGCGACAGCACACGAGACTACTTGGACTTGGACCTTGCGCGAGGGTCCTGGTCCTGGAACAAGCGCGGACGGCCGGGAAGATGAAGATCTAGTACTGAGCGGCGCAGCCCCCGCCTCCAGCAGTTTCTTCTACCAATACAAAGTGACGAAACGCGAAAACGTGCACAATAAACAGGTTTACTACACAGTGACGCACCCGTCCAAAGCGAAGACTTTCACGGGGCCGCCCGCCGTGCCTACCGCCGGGAGGGCGACCGCCGCACCCGCGGACGCCCCGGCGTCTAGTTCTTCGGACCTGCCGCCTATCACGGGACATCGTGGTCCTGGTGGGGAGGAGGTCGGCGTACCACGCGGACGACAAGCTGCACATGATCTTCCAGCTGCACCACGACCAACAGAAGAAGCTCCTGCTCGCGCCGAATATAAATTCAGCACTACCGCAGCCGTCGATGCGCTCAAGGATTTGCGCAGACAGCAAGCCACGGGGGCTTCTGTACTGGGTTCTGGGGCAGTAATGACGAGCACCGGGCCTACTTTCTCGACATCAACATCCAGCGCATGGCACTGGGCAGCATATGAGGTTCTTGGTCCGGAGCGAACAACCTCTTCCCGTGATCACCAATTTTTGCGAGGCGACTCGCTCATCATTCTCACACGACCGGGTTCGACGAACTCCGATGGGTTTCACCTGTTTGTGCGCAAGCCCGAAGCTGTAGATCCGGCGTTAAATGTTAACGGCAATAATAAAGTCCAAACCACGCTTCGTTACCGCGCCAATGTGTTTGCGGAATTTGATATCAGGCCTCTTGTATGCATTGCAAAAGTATCGTACTAGTATAAATCGCAATACAAATTTCTCCAGAAGGAAAAATGGAATTTGTAATGCTGATTTCGCTCAGAAACAAGATTTGTCATGCATGATTGCAATTAGTACGAGTGCGATACTTTTGCACAGGATATCTTGGCACAAAACCGGGGGCCGCGGTCGTGGTGCAACATGCGGCTAGTACGGTCCTTCGCCGGGCTCCGGAACTGGAAGTCGTGCGAGGGGGGAGTGCCTATGGAAGTCCTTTTCGGTCCAATCCGTACGAGAGTGGTTTGGCCGTCGTGCCTGCATCCGCTATTGGTACTACTACTTCATCCGGCGCTCCTCTTGTGCACCCCCGCCAGCAAGTGCAAGAACTTGCGTGGACAGTGACAGCTCCGCACCACTTCGACGGCGCGCAGGAGGTGCACTTCCTGCAGATCCAATTTTTGCTCAAACTGGCGCAGAAAGGTACTTCTAGCCGTCGTACGGCTGAGGGGGATGATGTGATCACCTCTTCCGGCACCGCCGAACCGGGAACGACGCGACACCTAGGGAACCAGCCCTTGCAGGATATTGTGGACCGAGGGCAGCAGGACGGTAGACGCTGGGGGAGGACTACAACACCGTATCGCAATCACGTAAACCTCGAACTGCACCGGTTTGTGAAAGATTGGCGCGACCTGGGTAGAGATGGTCCATTGGTGAATCCGATGCGAGACCCGAAGTTGCAAGTGTGCATTACAAGCTACGTTGAAGCTGGTGCCCCTCGAAGTACTGCAAGCACACACGGTGGGAATCGTGCACCAGATGGAGCGGAGACTGGTCGAGGTGGATTTTGAGTAGCGACACTTCATTCTCAGTGAAGAAAGTCTGTCACAGTCATCATCTGTTTTGAGGATGAAAGTGGGCTATTAGGTGGAGAGAGAGCCGAGGCTGCTTTGCGCATATGTTATCTGTTTATTTCTCTTCGTTTTGCTTATAAAGATATCTACCTTGTTGTTTTGTACCTTTTTTGATTTATTTCCGCAGTACCTATAATCCGTACGTTGTAAAATGATACTCACGAAGATCTGCAGCCCAGTTTGCCGCGTTTGGTTCTCATTTATTCTATAACAGCATCGGAAGACCGCGACTTTGACTTTCTACCAGTACTGAGAACAATTGAAAACGGCAAATGGCTTACACTCCCACTGGGCTGGGGTACACCTCCGCACGACTGCTGGACGAGCAGCATTACAAATCGCGGGTTTTTTTTGACTTGTTGGAAGTACTAACACGTGTATGATTTTTTTACTTTTACATTTACCAAGAATTTCGCCCTGCATCAAGATGGCCTTCCTACAAGCATATACCAGAATTAACTAGACGTTGATGAATCGGAGAAGCTTCCTGTAGTTGTTGTATGATGAAGAACGTGCACATCTAGTTTATGGTTTATTTTGTAGTAGTACGTGGCTCTAATTATTATTTCTGATTTTTTGGTCATTTTCTCAAGAAAGTAGTACTTTCTTACATGGCTCTTCGATGGTTCAAGCAAAAGTCCCCACGAACAATTCGAATTCCGTCACTGCTACACTTACAAGTAGAACAACAACAAAAAGAAGAAGAACACAGTTCTGGAGTGTAGTTGTTGTTGGCACGAAATAGATGGATGATGATGAACAACAAGTAGAAACAGCTGAACACCAGAAGCGGATGAAAAAATGGAGTAGAAATCCGTTATGAAATTTGAAAAATAAAACGTCACATCATCAGTTGAATCGCTGGCGGTAAGACACATCAAGGGAGTTGTGAAAAAAAGCACTCTGATGTATTTCTTGGCGTTCACGATTGTGTGTCGTTCAAAACTAGTCTTTATGCCCGAGAGCTACAATTACGTTCAGAGCTGTCTTCGGGGAATGACCACACCCGGAGCTATTACGGGACTCCGATTCGTCTTCAAGATGAGGTATTGAGAGGGCGACGAGCTATAATTCTTGAGGGTACTCCTGTAATAGTATGAAGCTGCATGATGATCTGAGATGGATTACGAGAACCTATCGTGGAGACAGGCGGAGAGAAAATGGAAAGGAAACAAGGAACTACAGCAGGCTGCTCCAACTTAATAATTTGTTGAGGCTGCTAGTAGCGTAGTTCCAGTTCTTCGAGGACGTGAAGATCATGTTCATACAAAAATAAAACATCAAAATGTTCACCGCTTTTAGCAACCGCTTGATTTTTCCCGCCCCGCGGCGGAGCTACGAGAAGGACAGTTTTCCGGAGATATTGTGAGGAAAAATCTCCCCTCCCCAAATCCAAAACGAAATTTGTGTTGCTGTATTTGAGTACACAAATCGAATTGTATTGCTAGAAGGCCAAGAGACGCAGTTGCTCCCTCGTTTGCAGGGAATTTGTCATGCTGTTTCCGTTTCCAGTTGCTTTCTGTCATGCTAAAGGCGCAAGGCTTTCCTACGCCAGCCAGCACTACAATCCGCATCTCTTCCCTTCTAGCATGACAACGTGATTTGTGGTCACAAATCATGCTACACAAATCTCCCTTTCGGTATGGGGAGGGAGGATTTTTTATTTTGATAGGAGAATCTGTTTCTCCTCCCTGTCGATGGTGCTGTTGGCAGTAGTAGTAGAGAGGGTCGTGTTTCATCTTCTACCAGCGGTGCTGCGGAGGTGTGGTCTAGCACGACGACGTCCTCGGGTGCTCAGCACGACGAGCAAACGGGCCACAGCCCACCAGGACGACGAGAGCAGGACGAGGACTACTACGTGGCTGCAAAGAGGAGTACTAGGAGAGGTTCTGCCTCATTCTCCACGTCGTCCTCGTCTTCCCGGGTTCTTTTTCCGGGGATACCCGTTCTGTTTTACTACGCAAGGGAGACATCAAACCTGCTGCAAATTTTTGTGCCAAACCTCTACGTAAAAAGAACTTCGGTCGTTTGTTTATGAGTTTTAGATTTCCCGGCAAACAAAATCCTATCTGTATCATGAAGATCACGAATAAGTGAAAATGAAATACGAAACCATATCAGATTTAATTATTATGCCTTTAAAGTTAGCTGAAGTAGAAAGCGTAAGACCCCGTCCCAGGGCGGGGGCTGATGAAAGTACTTATTATGTCCATCACCATCTCCGCTTCCACAGAAACAGCACTATAGAATTGTTCTGAATCAGTTATGGAGAGGCTCAGCAGGAGAACAGTTGCAGTGCATTTTTCCCCTATAGAACCCTTCAGCCTCATATCCAGGAAGAAACACCCATCCCCATCCATGTTTTGCATGACAAATAGGAGACTTTATGCATGTTTTGCATGACAAACTGGATGGGGTGGATGGGTGTTTTTTCCTGGATACTTCGAAGCTCGCCGTCTCCACTGTTGCGACCGTAAACAACCCCGGCGGAGGTCGTGGTGGGACAACTGTAAACGGGAACAGACCTACGCATAATTGCAAATACGTCTGGGTCTGGAACAAGGTTGCAACTTGTAATGCTAATTCTGGATCGTGCAAAAATCTGTATTGCATGAATGCCAAAAGTCGTCCACTTTTGCTCAAGTTGAGTTTCTCATGCAGGATAGGCATGATAGGGATCTCACAGAATCTGTCATGCGAGGTCCTGCATTCCAGACGACATGGATCATAAAAAATCTGCATGATAAGTCTCGGAATCTTCCAGAGAGACCCAGACATTTTTGCATTTGATAAGACCGAGACCGAAGCAATCTTCGTCCAAAACGCTGCTGCTTTACTTCCACGGCAATGCAGAAGATTTGGGGATGTGTCAGAGCTTCTGCCAGCACGTTTGGGATATGCATTGCAAATGTCAGTCACACAAAAAGCTGTCATGCGTGAGTACCACTGGTGTAGTTGACCTTTGGCCATCTTGGGTGGAAAAGCATTTCTTATGCAGACTTCGAGGCATTCTATTTTTTTGCAAAGCTGTCGGGAAATAACTTGTGATGCTACAAAACGCCACCGGGGCCATGCTCAACATGCAAAACCTGCATCACAATAAACCTCGCAACTACCTTCCAGACCCAGACACATTTGCAAGGCATATAGGAGCAGTTTCGGATAAACGTGTGTGCGATGGATATCCCACTAAAAAACTGTTTTACAACTGTGGTGATTTTGCAAGGTCTGCATCACAAGTCTTTTTTTACACATGACACGGAAAATTTGCCATGCGCGCTCCCCAAGGGAATAAAACACGCTTGAACATCCAATGTAAGTATTGCAGGTGTAGCAAGACAAACACTTTGGTGCTTCGTTCTCTGCATCACAAGTTCACAGTGAAGCAGTTTTTTCGTGCGATAATGGAATACCCGGGCTACGGGTTACTCGACAAATGTGGTTATCCTGTGCAAAAGTATCGTACTCGTAGTAATCGCAGTCATGCAACACAAATTTCTTTTTCAAGCTATTTCAGCATGAGAAATTCCATTTGTCATGCTGAGCTAGTTTGTATTGCAATACTACGAGTACGATACTTTTGCAATGCATAGTGGTCTGCACGCGTCCGAAGAGAATGTTTTCAAGTGTGCGCAGCAGCTTCTTCTCTGGCTGAAGCAGCACCGGGTGATCGCGTCGTATGAAGATGTGATCTGCATGGGCCGCTCCATCGGCTCAGGTCCGGCGACGTGGCTCTGCTCGAAGTACCCACTAGGAGGCCTCCTTCTCGTCAGTCCCTTCGCGTCCATCGATTCCGCCGTGCAGTCCATTGCGAACTTCGGCACCAGTAGCTTGTCGCACGCCGACGTATATCAAATGCAAATATGTCTGGGTCTGGAAACTTGTTGTAATGCTGAGGTGTGAACAGTGAACCAACTCTCTGTAATGCACAGCCAAGCATGACAAATATTTGCACTTCTTAGTGTTGCGCTTTCCGCATGACAAACTGCGTTTTCCATGACAAACAAATCAATGTTGTCTCTTCTTGGACACGCATCACAAACTCTTCAGTCATGCCAGACAAGCATGACGAACTTGGCATCCTCCCAGACCCAGAGAGATTTGCAATGCATAACGTCGGCGCCGGCGCGCGGGTCAAAGCTGCGCTCGTCGGCTTTCTCTTCAAGAACCTGGTCTTTCCCTGGGTAACCTACGGGGCGGCGCCGGCGGTGGCCTCGGGGTATGAATTGCGAAAGTAACGTACTAGTACGTAGAAATCGCATGACAAATTCGCTCAGCATGAAAAATGAAATTTGTAATGCGGATTTACGATAGAAAAAAGATTTGTAATGCAAGACTTGCATTTATACGAGTGCGATACTTTTGCACAGGAAACGGGGGGCACTACTACAACGACCGGCAGCCGCTCGAGCACAACCTCCACAACAAGCAGCTTGTTCCCCGATCGGCGCGACCGGTTTCAAAATTTACTGCACATCCAGAACATCAGCAACCAGCCAGTGCTATGCACTGCAAAAGTATCGTACTAGTACAAATCGCAATACAAATTGGCTCAGCATTACAAATTGAATTTGTAATGCGGATTTACCTAACCAACTAGATTTGTAATGCATAACTGCGATTAGGGCCCTTCCGTACGGCCAATTTGTATGTCCCGCAACGGGGTTCGCCTATGTCGGTCATTTGTATGTGAGGCGATGGGTTACCCGGTCGGCAGAGCCGATCCACAACGAACGAACGATAACTGCGATTACTACGAGTGCGATACTTTTGCACAGGATAAGTACTGATTATCCACGGAAAATTGGACCGACTGATCCCGACCGAGCACAGCCTGGTATCCTGAGTAAAAACGTCCCCACACCAGAGTCAAGATGGGGTTTTTGCAACACAAACCTAGGAATTTTGGGAGTCACGCATGACAAGTTGCACTCCGCAGGGTAGCGCAGGTTAGCAAGTGCAGCCGCATCACAGATGCATCTGCTTATCCTGTTCACAACATCACAAATAATTCCAAAACACGATTGGGAATGTGTACCATGGGTATGCGCATCACAAATTTCCTTGTCATTGCAAATCTGCATGACAACTCTGGGGTGGGGACGTTTTTCCTCAGGATACCTGGAGCTGTTTAGCAATTGCCGAACCAACGCGCGGAAAAAACTCGTTACCCCGGACCAGATGGAGCACAACAGCAATTTGTTCGCGTATTGAGAGGAAAAATCCCCCCTCCCCATATTGAAAAGGCATGTTTCCGAAAATTTGCGTTGCTGCTTTGAGGCCACAAATCACATTTGTTTTGCAAGAAGACAAGGGCAGAAGCTTCCGCCCCATTATGGAAGCGATTTGCCATGCTGTTGGGCCTAAAGGGGAGCCGCTTGCCATGCTAGACAACTAGACGCATACGCTCCTCCCTAGCTTGGGGATCTGACCGCAATGCTTTCCTGCAATACAAAGCGGATTTGTGTACCCAAATCCAGCATCAGAAATTTCGTTTCGATATGGGGAGGGGGGATTTTTCCTTTTGACATCGCGAATCCCGACTTTTTCGCCTTGCCCGTGTTGGAATTTTTCCAGTTCCCCGGCTTATCAAATGTAAAAATGTCTGGGTCTGGAAGAATGCAACTTGTAACGCTGTCTGCGGATTCTAAAACTATCTTTGTTGCATGAGCAGCATGAGGAGTCAGTTCTTGGCACGCGGAGAGGGCATTGCTTATGCGTAACTAGCTTCAAGAAGCTTTCAAAAAATCCATCACAGAGCTCACGTATCATGCAAAATGTGCATGACAAGTCCCGACTCTTCCAGACCCAGACACTTTTGCATTTGATACGGCTACATGAGCTACAATGCAGTGGCGATAGACGAGGAATTTCTAGCGATAAAGACGATCGCAAAGGATGAGGAGATGTTGGAAGACGCTGCTGGTGACCACGAGAAGAACGACCATGAGGGATTTTTTTTTGGCGCGTGTATTGTGAGGAAAAATCTCCCCTCCCCATATTGAAAACGAAATTTGTGATGCTGATTTGTGACCACAAATCGGCTTGTATTGCTAGAAGGCCAAGAGATGCAGTTGTGGCCTGCATTGCAAGCCATTTGTCATGCTGTTTCCCACTTCCAGTTGCCTCCTGTCATGCTGAAGATGCAAGGCTTTCCCACGCCAGCCAGCGCTACGCTTCGCATCTTTTGCCTTCTAGCATGACAAAGCTGATTTGTGGCTACAAATTTGCATCACAGATTTTCGTTTTGAAATGGGGAGGGAGGATTTTTCTTCTTGATAGCGTGTCTCCGGCCCTTTGCGAGCAAGGCAGACAGAGATCGGGACAGGGAGGAGATTATCCTGTGCAAAAGTATCGTACTCGTATTGTGGAATCATGCATTACAAATCCTTTACCTAAGGCAAATCCGCATTACAAATTTTATTTCTCATGCTGAGGAAATTTGTAATGCATTTATACGAGTACGATACTTTTGCAGTTCATAGAGATTCAGATTTAATGATACTTGTTTTCTATCGATGTTACTTCTATTGTAGACAATGACAAGCATCGCAAAAATAAAGATTCGACCGCCGACGGTGCAGCTATACGGAAGTACTGGAACAGCGACGGTGCTATAGCTACTGTTGTGTCGTGTCGATCAAAACTAGAACAGCAGCTCCAGGCGATAACATAAAAAACGTATCTAGTTTCATGTTGGCGTAATAAAAATAAAGTTCATCACACAAGAACGAGTTCTCAAGTTGACAGATCCCTGTCCGCTCATTTTTCTGGAAGCCGGACAGCAGGGAAGACCACAAAGGAAGACAGGAGGATCCTCCACCGCTATTTTGGTTCCTTTGCTGATCCTCGGGATCTATTTCTTTGGGTAGGATAGAGTACAACTATGGTCGCGTTCACCTCAACCACAACTACTATCTTGGTTCCTTTGCAGCTGGTCGGGATCTATTTGGGCGGTAGAACAGTCAGCAGTGCTGTTGTACAACTATCATGTACGAGGACCCAGCACAACTTGAGTAGAGCCAGAACTGCTGGTAGCAGTTCTATACAAGCACTAGCACTACGACTACAAGCAACATGCAATACCCGCAGGAGCACATGACTTGATATCCATATCGTTTCTTTTCGATATCTGTCTTCTACCATTTTTTTCCTTTTCTCAGCTCGTCAAATTTTGATTTATTTTGTCTTAAATTTTTGTTTTTCTATCGCGACAACACACATTTTTACTTTATAAGTACCCAATCCATCTATTCATTTCTTCCGGAACCTCTACTACCAAAAGCAGCACAAAAATGTCTACACCTTCGACGGGACAAGAACCATTGCGTGGGGCAGCTGCCGCGCCGGTGCGCCGTTGGGTCACCGGTAGTACTGGTGCAGCAGCAGTTCCTGGCGCAGCAGGTCCTGCGGCCTGCACAAAGATAATCTTCCGGGTGCTTGGGCTGCTTCATTTTTTCGACGGGCGTGGTGGTCTATTCGCGCCAGCGTGGCACCAAAGTAAAAGAACCAACAGCATTTTTCTAGCCGTGCAGGGTTTGCAGCTGGAGAAGTTGTTCTTGAAGCGGTCCGCTTCCTCTTCGTCCGCTCCGCCCGGTGGGGTCCACTTGTGTACTCGTTTTTCGGGCACGCCACATCAAGCAGTAGCAGAACGAGCAGGACTACAGCTTCTTCACACGGCCGCAGGCACACCAGTAGCTGGGGAACATCTTCAAGCTGCAGGAGAATCGGATACCGCTTCTCAAGAACCGATTTCCTCGGGAAGAAGTGCTGCAGTAGCTGCAGTCCCAGGAGAAGAGCTACAAGGTCCGTCTGCAGCTCCGTGGTGCGAAGATCTTCAAGATGATGCCACGGCGGGCGTCCGCATCTCCTTTTTATCCCTAAAGCAGCGTACACAACTCCCAATCCTAAACCTCAACGGCGACACAATCAGTCACGTGTCTCTGCCGGTGGAGAGCATGGATAATTTCCGAAAGGAGTTTTTCGAAAATTATCTCTTGGGCCGCGCAGATGAAGTTGCGAGGACAACAGGACGAGATCATACTGCTGGCTATGCAGGCGCCGGTGGTACAGGTACTAGTGGGACTACTGCAATAAAAGGAAATGTGGGCCACCTACAACGGAAAGAAGTGCTTCTACAGCCTTCCGAATTGCAGAAGGGCTTCCCCTATGAACTGCAAAAGTATCGTACTCGTATAAATGCATGACAAATTCCCTCAGCAAGAGAAATAAAATTTGTAATGCGGATTTTCCTTGAGAAAAAAATTTGTAATGCATGATTGCAATACGAGTACGATGCTTTTGCACAGGATATCCCCGGAACCTACAACGCGAAAATTGTTTTTGGTGCAGCGCTATGAATTGCAAAAGTACTATCGTACTGCTCGTATAAATGCATTACAAATGTCCTCAGCATGAGAGATAAATTTTGTAATGCTGATTTACCTTAAGAGAAAGATTTGTAATGCAGGATTGCAATACAATTACAGCGAGTGCGATACTTCTTTTGCACAGGATAAGCGCCGAATTTTTTTCCCGACCTGTGGAACATCGATCTCTGTAGTAGCGTATCAAGTGCAAAAATGTCTGGGTCTGGAAGAATGCATGTTTGTCATGCTTGTCTGGCATAACTCTGAAATCTGTCATGCACGTTTCCCAAGAGCTCCACTTTTCTGTGAGGCAGAGACGCAGTTTGTCATGCAGAATAGGCAACACCCAGAAGCTCAGAAAATTGTCATGCTAGCCACCATTTGTGGCCTCATCAAGAGACGCCACCCAGCATGACAAGTTTCCAGACCCAGACATTTTTACACTTGATATAGCGTGAGCAGGAGCCCCGGAAGTTGTATTCCAATTCGTGCGGGGGTAGCTGCTCCTGGGGCGGCTGATATTAGCAGCTCGTCGTCGTCTACGCGCGAGCAAGAGATGAAAATGTGCGAGCCTGAAGACCACCTTAGACAAAATGATGAAACTACACAGCTTGACCTCTTCAATCGCCAGGTCTATTTGGACGAAGTCGGGCTGGGGTTGGCTCATCATCTTCCAGGTTCATCTACTTCGATACACGGTGGACCTTATGGATTGCAAATATGTCTGGGTCTGGAAGGTTGCAACTTGTGATGCTGTGTTTGGATTCCAAAAAAAATTTGTATTGCATGACCAGCAACAGGTGTCCAGTTCTTGCTACGTGGAGGTGGCACTTCTCATGCGGAATTGGCATCAGGGATCCCTCTAAAAGTCTGTGATGCTAGGTCGTGCATTACAGGCATTCTGGGTCATGCAAAATATGCATGACAAACCTGGCAATCTTCCAGACCCAGACATTTTCACATTTGATAGACCTGCTGCTGTAACAAATTTTATTCACCAGCATGCTGTGCTAATCCAAAGCCAATTGCCGTCCTTGGCCGACTATGAACTGCAAAAGTATCGCACTCGTATAAATGCATGACAGATTTCCTCAGCATGAAAAATGAAATTTGTAATGCCGATTTACCTTGAGAAAGAAATTTGTAATGCATGACTGCGATTACTACGAACGAGTACGATACTTTTGCACAGGATACCGACCCCTGGACTTTCTACCGCGGAACAGACTTGGTCGACAAAATCGAGGAATACGTGTTCTCGGAGCCGGGAGATGATTATCTTTATCAAAACGGGTGTAGAGAGCGGACCGTCCCGGGCGGAGGGATTAGATGCAAGAATTTTGTCATCGACCAAGATCCTTCCGACCAAGAATTTCGAACGCACGTGTTCACGGTCTTGAACAACATTTGGGTGGTATCCTGATTAAAAACGTCCCCACACCAGAGTCAAGATGGGAAATCTGCTAGACAAATCAGCCAGCTTTCGTTGTTTGGCATGACAAGTTTGTCCTCGTAGTTTAGTCCTGTTGAGCTAGTTCAGGAGAAGCATCACAGATCTAGCGCAGCATGCTGATTCTAGCATCGCAAATTCCAAAACACGAATAGAGAATGCCTCTCATAGGGCTCCGCATGAGAAACTTTTTTGGCATGCAGAATTGCATGACAGCTCTGGGGTGGGGATGTTTTTACACAGGATAGGTGGCCTTGCAGGAGGAGGCGCGAACAAATGAAGCGCTCGCCTTTGTGTTACTAGGGAAGAAACAAATGCAAAGTAAATCTGCTGCCGCTGCGCATAACAAAGAGGATTCGACTGCAGAACAAGGATCATCTTCATCATCATCTGGAAATAAAGCGAGGGAGGACGTCGAAGACCCTGCAGCCCCGTATCAAGACGCAGTTTTTTTACCACGCAGTGGCCGTTTTTTACCACGTGAAGAAGAAGACCTCCTACTTGCCGATCTTCTCGCGGAAAGAGTGTTCGAATTCGTTCCCTCTAAACTCGCATTCGACGTGGATAATGACACGGTTCGGATCAAGCGCGCAAGTGGCTCCGGGGTGGAACGCGACCCCCACCGCGAACCAAGAATGCTGCAGATGGGTCGCCGACTCCACCGGAGAGACAATTACGTGATTTCAGTCACCTCGGAACAATCACTGAAGTACACCCCCCCGCCGGGGGATAGCGACTTGGACCTATCCGACAACCCAACCTACGTAATGTTTTACGGGGCTCGCCCAAGGAAGCAGGCAAAGCCCGTTTTCCGATTCGACCTGGAGTTCGCCCCCAGGATCGCGACGGTGGATAAAGCGAGACCGAGTTTTGATGGGAACAACAGTAGTTCTTCATCTTCAGGCGCTAGTAGTAGTGAAAGTTCTGATGAATCGTTTGCGGCAGATGGAGCGAGAGTAGATCACGACCGTCGTTGGCAGGAAGTAGAACCCGTTGATTTCTATCGCGAGTTTGGCATCCCTTTGCCCCACGAACGGCGGGGCGGGTTTTCTTTTCGACCACAAGAAAATGATGTAGCCGGCGTCGAGGCCACGGCCGCCGGCGCGATTACTGACGACGACGATGAACACATCATGTTGGGACCAATTTTGGCTTTGCCCAACCAGGATCATGATGGTGAGGATGATAATGTTGAAATAACTCCCGCCCGTGACGAGCCGGAGCAGGCCCAGGCCCACCGCGACGAGCCGCCTTCCTTCCACCCTCCCCCACCACCCATCGACGCGGAAGATACGGAGAACGCAAAGAGGCATTATCCTCTCGCAAAAGTTCTTCTCACGATCTGTCACCCTTTGAAGAAGCAGATTCCGGGCCACTCGCTGATCTGCATGGACGTGGAGGTAACGTACCTATCAAATGCACATATGTCTGAATCTGGAAACTTGTGATGCTACTGGTTGTGAATGATGCATATACAACAGATTCTAGACAGAGTCATGTGAAACAAGCATGACAAAGACAAGCTTGCATTGTTCCAGACCCAGACACATTTGCGTTTGATACGCTGGAGATGTTGGGGACGATCAGCAAGTATTAACGGCTGATGGTGGTGGTAGCCCTAGAAGTGGCCCAACAACATACAAGGTAGCGGTTGGAGGAGAGAAGATTATCGATATTTGTTGAAAAACAGAAACTAATTTTGAAAAACAGAGACATAGTGGAAGCCAACGACTCCCTCGCGCCACTCATCGGCCCCTTCCCGGCAATCCGGCACCAGTGGTGGTCCGATGAACGAGGCCGCAACGCGGTTGAAGAGTGATGCTCTGAAAAAGCTTTCTATATACTAGTGATAAAAAAAAAGTTAAAAAAGAAAAACAAAAACAGAACGAACAAAGAGTCGTGATCTTCCTAAGCAAGGTAGAACTGGTTCAAGAAGTAGTTTTTTTTGCAACGGATTTTCGCAACAGATTTAGATTTTCAACGGAGTTGGGCGTTTCATAAAAGTACCTTTTTCCAGCAGGCCGTATATTTTTAAAGCAGTTGTACACTACCGGTAGCAGTTACTAAGGATTTTTTCAAGCTTCTTTGCGTACAGGGATTTTTATTGAAATAGCGCTAGGGAAAAAAGGTGAGTAAACCTTTTTCCACCTTGCCGCATGTCTACAAACAAACAAACAAAAAACAGAGACATGAACAAATTTTGTGATACTACAAGAGACCGTACTAAAAAGAAACCGAAGTTGTAGGAGCTGTGCCATGATCATGGGCAGCTTTTTTATGTGATCGAACTCGAATACAGTGACAGGTTGTAAATGATAAAAAGAGATCATTTCATTTTTGAATGAGGGCAACAGAAAGGGGCTGCGCCATGGTTGTGCGGCGCTGGTGTCGTCCGCTTTTGAGGTCGTCAGCATTATAGCAAGCTCTGCAGCAGGTCTATTCTGTCTTTCTTCCCGCCAAAGGACTAGAACAATGTTGTTTTCCGCAGTGTCTTTTTCTGGAGCGAAGTAGATGAGCGAAGTAGATGAGAGCCATTTGTCATGCTGTTTCCCACTTCCATTTGCCTCCTGTCATGCTGAAGATGCAAGGCTTTCCCACGCCAGCCAGCGCTACGCTTCGCATCTTTTGCCTTCTAGCATGACAAAGCTGATTTGTGGCTACAAATTTGCATCACAGATTTTCGTTTTGCCATGGGGATCTATCAATGATACTTACTTGTTTATTTCCTTTTCTATCGATGTTACTATTGTAGACAATGACAAGCATCGCAAAAATAAAGATTCGACCGCCGACGGTGCAGCTTCTATACGGAAGTTGTACTGGAACGACGGTTGTTCTGTAGCTCCACTTCTCCCTTGATAAAGCAGGCCGCCTTCGTTCCGTTGAACATGTAAAAGGCCGCCACAAGGCCGGCCTGCAAAAGTGGTTGGGCCTGGTTACATCTCTCCAGACCTCTTTTGGCATTGGGCAGACAGCCCAAAATTTCAAAAAAGCGGCGACAGCTTTTTTTTTCAGAAGTTGCCTTTTGAACATTCGTTCGCGCAGTCACTCGACCAAGTTTTTTTCGGTCGCTCGAGTTTTTTTTCGACCCCCGCCGAAACGAAAAATTGGCCGAGTGACGAACTTTTTTGGCGAAAATGATTTCGCTTTCCCGCACCTAAAATGCCGCTTTTTGGAAATTGAAGCGCTTCGTCACTCGGAGCTTTTTTCACAAAAAAAGCCCCCGTTTTTTTGTCGTTTTTGTTCTGTTTCAAAACATTTTTTTAACCTGTTTTTCTCCGAGTGACTATGGCGCGCAAGAATCAAAATTCGCATTTTTGGCTTCATGCAGTCGGAAAGATTTGGGGCTTTTGCGCATTTGCGTAAGTTGCTTCTGCCTTTAGACAAGGTAGTTGACTGCCCTGGTCCGCCCAGTGACATGTGCCGCACACAGCCCCGTGGTTTGGGTATTTCCTTAGAGAGGCGCGCGTAAATGCGTTGCCGTTCATAGCTGGCATATATTTTTCAAAAGTTCTTGGCGCAGTAGCTAGGCTAAGAATTCTTTGCGTAGCCAGGAAGGCGTAGGAGCTCTTGCAGAGGCATGCGTGCTTCAGCGCGTCTGCCCCGGAAATGGCTAGAATTCAGCTCCGTCAAGGCGTCGAGACTAGTTCTGCAAAATGCAAGGCCCTTGCAGTCGAAGGGGAAAAGGTCGCGCGTTTCCTCCACATCAGAAGATTTCTTTTTTTTCACCAATCAATTTTTCGAAAAATGAAAAATTGTGACTGTGGCGAACTTTTTTTTTTCGATAAGCTATACGGAAGTTGTACTGGAACGACGGTTGTTCTATAGCTACTGACGTGTCGTGTCGATCAAAACTAGAAGAGCAGTTCCAGGCGATAACGTAAAAAGCGTATCTAGTTTCATGTTGGCGTAAAGTTCATCGCACAACAAGTTCTCAAGTTGACAGATCCCGTTCCGCTCATTTTTCTGGTGGAAGCCGGACACCAGGGAAAACCACAGACGAAGACAGGAGGATCATCCACTGCTATTTTGGTTCCTTTGCTGATCGTCGGGATCTATTTCTTGGTAGATGAACAGAGTAGAACTTGTTCTGAAAGCTGTTTACTACACTTAGATAAAAATAAACTTTCAGACAAATAAACAACTTGTTTGTTTGTTTGTGTTCATGCGGAAGGTGGGAACGCGTTTACACACCTTTTTTCCTCTAGCGTTACTTCAAGAAAAATCCCTTTGCTTCGAAAGCCAGTGAAAAAAGCCAACCGAAAGTGCCTCTAACTACCTGCTACTGAAAAACTAGTCTGTTGTTTGCTCTTTCTTTGCTACTAAACAACTTCTACCACTTCTTTCTACCATTTTTTTTTGTCCTTTTCTCAGCTCGTCACATTTATTTTGTCTTCAATTTTGGTTTTTCTATAATCTCGACAACACACATTTTCACTTTGTAAATACCCAATCCATGTATTTCTCCCGGAACCTCTACTACCAAAAGCAGCACAAAAATGTCTACAACTTCGACGGGACGTCGACCATTGCGTGGGGCAGCTGCCGTGCCGGTGCGCCGTAGGGTCACCGGTAGTACCGGTGCAGCAGTTCCTGGCGCAGCAGGTCCTGCGGCCAGCACGAAGATAATCTTCCGGGTGCTTGGGCTGCTTCATTTTTTCGACGGGCGTGGTGGTCTATTCGCGCCAGGAGCGTGGCACCAAAGTAGAAGAACCAGCAGCATCTTCCTAGCCGTGCAGGGTTTGCAACTGGAGAAATTGTATAAGGGGTCCGCTTTCTCTTCCTCCGCTCCGCCCGGTGATCACTTGTGTAGTTATTCGGGCACGCCACATCAAGCAGAAGGAGCAGGACTACAACTTCTTCACACGGCTGCAGGTGCGCATGAACATCTTCAAGCGGCAGGAGAATTATCGGATACCACTTCTCAAGAACCGATTTCGATTTCCTCGGCAAGAAGTGCCGCAGTAGCTGCAGTCCCAGGGCGGGAAGAACTAGAAGGTCCGTCTGCAGCTCCGGGCGAAGTACTAGATCAAGATGCCACGGCGGGCGTCAACATCTCCTTATCCCTGAAGCAGCGTACACTTCCAATCCTGAACCTTAACGGCGACACAATCAGTCATGTGTCTCTGCCGATTGAAAGCAGGGATGATTTTCGAAAGGAGTTTTTCGAAAATTATCTCTTGGTCGCAGAAGGTGCGAGGACAACAAGAGATACTGCTGGCTATGCAGGCGCCGGTGGTACTAGTGGGACTACTGCAAAAGCAAATGTGGGCCACCTACAACGGAAAGAAGTGCTTCTACAGCCTTCCGAATTTCAGAAGGGCTTCCCCGGAACCTATAACGCCAAAATTGTTTTTGGTACAGCGCCGAATTTTTTTCCCGACCTGTGGAACATCGATTTCTGCAGTAGCGTGAGCAGGAGCTCCGGAAATTGCATTCCAAGTCGTGTGGGACCAGCTGCTCCTGGGGCCGCTGATAGCAGCTCGTCGTCTACGCGCGAGCAGGAGATGAAAATTATGTGCGACCCCCACGACCACCTTGGACAAAATGATGAAACTACACAGCTTGACCTCTTCAATCGCCAGCTCTGTTTGAACGAAGTCGGGCTGGGGTTGGCTCATCATCTTCCAGGTCCATCTTCGATACACGGTCGTGGAACTGCTGCTGTAACAAATTTTCACCAGCACGCTGTGCTAATCAGAAGCCAATTACCGTCCTTGGCCGACCCCTGGACTTTCTACCGCGGCACAGACTTACTCGACAAAATCGAGGAGTACGTGTTCTCGGATCCGGGAGATGATTATCTTTATCAAATAAACGGGTGTAGAAGAGAGCGGACCGTCCCGGGCGGAGGGATTAGATGCGAGAATTTTGTCATCGAGGAAGACCCTTCCGACCAAGAATTTCGAACGCACGTGTTCACGGTCTTGAACAACATTTGGGTGGCCTTGCAGGAGGAGGCGCGCACAAACGAAGCGCTCGCCTTTGTGTTACTAGGGAAGAAACTACAAATGCAAAGTAAATCTGCTGCGCATAATAGAGAGGGTTCCTCGACTGCAGAACAAGGATCATCTTCATCATCATCTGGAAACTATAAAGCGAGGGAGGACGTCCTCGAGGACCCTGCAGCGCCGTATCAAGACGCAGGAGTTTTTTTACCACGCAGTGGCCGTTTTTTACCACGTGAAGACCTCCTACTTGCCGATCTTCTCGCGGAAAGAGAGTTCGAATTCGTTCCCTTATGGATGTGTCAGGATCGAAATCGACAGAGTTGAAATGATTTCTCATGCATAAAATGCAGCCCATAAAGTGCCTGTCTTGCAGAGTAGGCATCAAGTGAGGCAGATTGTAAGCCTGGTGAGGGGTAGAAACTGAGCTGCTAAAGTAGCATGACAAAAGGCATCTTCCTTACTTACCCAAACAGCACGACAAACTGGATTTCGGTTCTACCCAAATTTGTCATGCGCCACTTGCAAGCTGGGTTACACCTGGCATCCATTTTATGCATGGCAAATCATTTGAACTTTGTCGATTTCAAACCTGACGCTTCCATATCCCTCTCGACTCGCATTCGACGTGGATAATGACACGGTTCGGATCAAGCGCGCAAGTGGCTCCGGGCTGGAACGCGACCCCCACCGCGAACCAAGCGCGCTGCAGGAGGGTCGCCGACTCCACCGAAGTGGCAATTACGTGATTTCAGTCACCTCGGAACAATCACTGAAGTACACCGTGCCCGAGAAATATCGCAAGAAAAAAGTGTTACAGTTACACACATAGTCTTTGCAGGCCAAGCAAGACAGACAAGCTCTGTCATGCCGGATATGCATAGGGGCCTCGTTTCATCGGTGTTTTCTCGTAGGATTTCTGCATTACAAGTTTTCTCTCTCATGCAGAGAAATTTGTGTTGCTGAATTGACTACAAATGTGTAACTGTAACACTTTTTTCGTGGGATAGGAATAGCGACTTGGACCTATCCCACGTCCCAACCTGCGCAATGTTTTACGGGGCTCCCCCAAGGAAGCAGGCAAAGCCCGTTTTCCGATTCGACCTGGAGTTCGCCCCCAGGATCGCGACGGTGGATAAAGCGAGACCGAGTTTTGATGGGTGGAACAGTAGTTCTTCATCTTCAGGCGCTAGTGGTAGTGAAACTTCTGATGAATCGTTTGCGGCAGATGGAGCGGAAGTAGATCACGACCGTCGTTGGGAGGAAGTAGAACCCGTTGATTTTTATCGAGAGTTTGGCATTCCTTTACCCCACGAGCGTCGGGGGTTTTCTGTTCGAAAACAAGCAAATGATGTAGTCGGCGTCGGGGCCACGGCCGGCGGTGCAACTGGTGACGTCGACGAAGATGAACACATGTTAGGACCACCTTTGGCTTTGCCCAACCAAGCTCATGATGGTGAAGATGATAATGTTGAAATGACTCCCGCCCAGGACGAGCCGGAGCAGGCCCAGGCCCACCGCGACGAGCCGCCTTCGTTCCCTCCCCCACCGCCCACCGACGCAGATATGGAGAATGCAAAAAGGCATTATGGATTGCAAATATGTCTGGGTCTGGAAACTTGTAATGCTAAAAGTGAACGATAGACGCGCCGCAAGACTCAGCTATGCATGACAAACTTTGTGTCTGCCATGTCTTATGTATTCCGCATGGCAAACTGCCTTTTCGCATGACAGTTAAGCGGACTCTTTCGTGCCTAGGCAACACAGATTCTCGAGTCATGCCAGACAAGCATGACAAACTTGCATTTTTCCAGACCCAGACATTTTTGCATTTGATAGGCATTATCCTCTCGCAAAAGTTTTTCTCACGATCTGCTATCCTTTGAAGAAGCAGATTCCGGGCCACTCGCTGATCTGCATGGACGTGGAGGTAACGTACCCTGAAGGTGTTGACGATCAGCAAGTATCAACGGCTGATGGTGGTGGTAGCCCTGGTAGCCCAACAACATACAAGGTAGCGGTTGGAGGGGAGCGGATTATCTGATAGGCGTTTATCGATATTTGTTGAAAAGCAGAAGAAGAAGTGAAGTACGTCGCGGGGGTGGCTTTCTATCGCAACCAGGATCAAACCTGGACTGTAGAATGACACCGAAATGTCGAAAGCACGATGTTCGTGTGCACGCCCAAGAAGAAATGAAAGAGAACAGAACGATAGAAACTTTCACAGGACAAGCACTAGCATGATGATGATGATGATGATGATGATGATGATGATGATGATGATGAAAAACAGAAACTAATTTTGAAAAACAGAGACATGAACAAATTTGGTAATACTACAAGAGACCGTACTAAAAAGAAACAGGAGAGACCGTACTACAAGAGACCGTACTACAAGAGACCGTACCACAGAGGTAATACTGCAAGAGGCCGTACTACAAGAGACCGTACTAAAGTTGTAGGAGCTGTGCCATGATCATGGGCAGCTTTTTTCTGTGATCGAACTCGAATACAGTGACAGGTTGTAAATGTTGATGAAATGAGGGCAACAGAAAGGGGCTGCGCCATGGTTGTTCGGCGATGGTGTCGTCCGCTTTTGAGGTCGTCAGCATTATAGCAAGCTCTGCAGCAGGTCTATTCTGTCTTTCTTCCCGCCAAAGGACTAGGACAATGTTGTTTTCCGCAGTGTCTTTTTCTTGAGCGAAGTAGATGAGAGACGAATGACATCAAAAAGAGCTTTTACTTGAGTGGAGTGGCGAGAGCGAGCGGTGTCCAAAAATTATTGAGCGTTTTCACGACTTTATTCACATGCAATATGCGAAGATGTGGAATGAGACCACGAAAGGTTCCCGAGGGTCTTTGGAGGTTCCGGTCCACACAGAAGTTCAACTTGCAGTTTTTAGAAGAGGCACCAAGAGATTGTCTTTCTTTTTCAGATATGTTTCTGACAACGAGTGCTGCTGAGCAGGAAGGAGGGTCCTAGTACATCAACCAAGTTGTACATTGACAGCTGTGAGAGCCGCGAGAGCCCCTAGGTGGAGTCGAGATGTGGCCGCATGGTGGTTGTACAGCAACTGGCTACGTTGTATCCATGCTATCAAGATCTACAACCTTCTTCCCTGTCATTCATCTTCCGTGCACTTTTGCATTTGCAATCAAAAAATCTAGGGTAGAAAAGGAAGTAGAAGTAGTTTTTGGTGTAGAAGTTATTTCAGCTTGTACGTAGAAGAAAAATCTTTGGTTGCGCGTCCTCTGCGAAGTAGTTGTAGTACACATCTTGTAAATTTTTATTCTAATGCACCTGTAAATGCACTGTCACAGGACCTCCTGATTCAATAACTATCCGCTCCTAGTCCTGAGAAAAAGAAAATTTACGTTTTATCGATTTTTTTTAATGCATGCAGAGTTGCTGTTGTAATGTAACACAATTAATTACCTGAAACTCAACATTTACCACTCTGCGCTCACCCAGCATCGCTGTTGGTTTTTTTGAGTTGCTTTTCCCCCACCTCGGAATTGGTTTTCGTCGATAACATCATCACTTCTTTCCACTTTTGCTGGAGCGCGCCCACTCGATTTTGCCGCATGTAAGGCGAATGCGCAGCATGTTTGCGTCGAGGAGGTTCTTGTGCACGTCTTCGGTGGGAGATGACGGTGTGACGTCAATGCCGTACCACCCTTGTTCCGGCGCTGGCATCTGAAAGTGGTGCAGTCGTGCAGCCCTGCACCTTCGGGGAGAACAAGGGCACCAGCAGGCCGCGCCTAAAATGCCCATGATAACTTGGGATCCGGGCAAAACACCGGCCAGCACAATGTCGTCCTCGTCTCTGCGACGTCACTTGCTCTTCTGGAGGAAAGCAGCTGCAGAAGCAAAAGAACTACACCTGCATACTTGCAACGGGAGAGGGAGAGCAGCAGAAGCACAACTACACTTGCATACTTGCAACGGGAAAATGTTGATCACCAACACCATCAGAAGAAAAAGTAATTTCAGGTCGATGTTGAAAACCGTTTGGTATTTGCTCGCCATCCTGTCCCACTTTAGGATCTTCTTCGGCTATTTCTTCATCCACACGGTACTAGAAGTCCTGGCTGCTCCGGAGACAAGTCAGTCTGACCAGCCAGCTGCACCGATAGCCGGAAAAACGGTGGTTGACCCGGAAAACCCGAGCAACACGCTAGCGGAAATCAAGATCTACGAACAGCCAAGAAAATCTACAACATCTGCAAGTAGAACATCAAGTACGGAAAGATCAATTCCTCATGCAGATGCGGCCGTAGAACATGAACAGCAAATACAACAACTTAGCGCGAAGAACAACATGAAACCGCCGATCTCTTCCACGGAACTTCTCCACCAACTACAACAGGAAAACCTCCGTGCGCTGGAGGCAAAAGAGGTGATAAAAAGCAACGGCATTGTCCATTATGAGGAGGATGAAGAAGAAGGCGAGGCGCACAACATATTAGCAACCGGAGATAATTCATTTGGCCAGAGAAGTAGTAGTATCAGGATTAACCACAACACCGGACAAAGTAGAAATCTTGGTGTCATCACCATTACCCCACCTTTCTTGGTATTCACGACGAATTCCCTTTCTGACTTGGGGATAAAGCTCTACGCCGGTCAAAAATACGCGGTCACGATTCAGCTGAACGAGCAGAACTGGCCCTACGATACCGCGCGGATGATGCTGGTCAGCTCAGAAATTTCGCAGCAACTAGCGACTCTAGGGTCCTGCCCACTTTACCAATTCGGCGACAGCTACTCCCCCTATGACGGCACCGCCGTGATTCCTGCCGCGGCGGACGATGTTATGCAGGGCCGGTGGACTTTCGACCCCGTTGGCGCGACGATTCGGCACGGCGGGATGTTCAAGATCTGCGTTTCCCCCGGGGGCGATTTCAACTCCTTCGGAACCCTAGTGAACATTGACGCGGATGGGAACGCTATCCAGGAAAAAAACTGTGTAAGTGTAACTATGTAGGAAGAGCAGCATCACAAATTCGCTCTGCATCATACAGGGAAAACCTGTCATGCGCAGCTAGTATCAGTGGAAACACGTATGAGAGGAGCCTATGACGCAGATCTAGCATGACAAGTGATAACTGTTTTACATATTGCTGCATCTTCACAGACTTAGACTCACATAGTTTTTTCTTGGATAAACGCGGTTGGGTACCAGGCGGCGGGGTTGACGGATACCTGTACCACGCCCGGTTGTTTCGCGAATCGAAGGTTTTACTGCTGGGCCGTCAACTCGGCGCTCATGCTGTACGCGCCCTCCGGGTACGACTGCTTGCTGTATTTCGAGGGCGTTTCCTACCAACAAGGGTATCCTGTGCGAATAAAGTATCGTACTCATAGTTGTAATCGCAATTATGCATGACAAGGCCCTCATTCAAGGTAAGGCAGCATGAGAAATTCCATTTGTCATTCTGCGCGAATTTGTAATGCGAAGACTACTAGTACGATGCTTTTGCATTTCATAAAGGGCAACCGCAAACCATTGTCGGGCGCGTGCAGCACATGAAACTTTCCTGGGGTGTCACCACTATGGATTGTAAAAGTGTCTGGGTCCTCTGGAAGGATGTGAACTTGTGATGCGCATTTCAGAACACAGACAAATCTCTCATGCATAGGCAGCAAAAGATGTCCATTTCCTGTCACCAAAGTGGGGCGACATTTGTCATGCGGATTAAGCAATGCGGAAGCTTCTCGAAATCTGTGATGCTAGGGCTTCCAGGACAGACATCCTGTGCCATGCAAAGACAGCATGACTCTTCCAGACCCAGACATATTTGCAATTGATAACCACTGCGGATACACAAATTTCTAACGGAGAACAGGTCGGCGGCTGTCCCATGTCCCTGCCCGGGACAAAGATCAAGGATATTAGCTATCCTGAGCAAAAACGCACCCACCTCAGAGTCAAGATGGGAAATCTGCTAGACAAATCGCCGCGCTTTGGTTGTTACGCATGACAAGTTTATTGGTCTCGTAGTGTAATTATCCTGTTTAGCTAGTTCAGCAGCGTCACAGGTCTGGCGCACTATCCCGATTCAAGGATCACAAATTCCAAAACACGACTAGAAAACCCTTCTCATGGGTCTCCGCATGACAAACATTCTCAGCATGCAGCTTTTGGCATTACAACTTTGGGGTGGGGGCGTTTTTACAAGTGATATTTCCTACCGGGCGTTGGAGTTACCCGCGAACACGAACTACACCACGGATATCAAAAGTAAAAATGTCTGGGTCTGGAAACTTGTGATGCTGGGTGGCGTCTCATGATGAGGCTACAAATGCTGGCTCAGCATGACAAGTTTCTGAGCTCCTAGGTATTGCCTATTCTGCATGACAAACTGCGTTTCTGCATCACAGGAAAACGGAGCTCTTGGGTAACGTGCGTGACAGATTTAAGAGTCATGCCAGACAAGCATGACAGACATGAATTCTTCCAGACCCAGACATTTTTACATTTGATAAAGGATGTCTCCGAACAGGTAAAAACCGAAATCAACTACAACCTCGGGCCGGCGCAGACGATTCTGCCCGCGGGGTTCAAGTACAGCTTGTGCTTCTGCCCGGATTTCTATGAGAGAGCACAAAAATTATCCCCCTCCCCGAGCTTGTGATGCGGAAAAATACTAAACCCAACTGCTGCCTTGTGGCACCGTTTGCATGACAGATTCCCGAAGCAGGAGCCAAAATAGTATTACACTAGGCGCATGATGTGCTTGTCATACAAAACTCCACGTGGGCTGGAGGTTGTATTGCTGTTCATGCCATACAAGTGAGGGGGAGGGGGAGTTGTGCAGTCTCATAGCTTCCCGGGGATCGCCTTCGGGATGTGCATGAAACCGAACTACTACATCCAGGACGTGGGCAAAGTGCTATCAAAGTAAAGAATCCCCCCAGCTCCCGATAACAACGAACAAAACTTCTGATGCGACATTTGCGAACACAAATGGGGACTGTATTGCTGTAAGGAACTGCAGCCAGACCCTCGGCCTGTTTAGGGGCGTAATGGTCTAGCTGTTTGGCATGGGAAACGCCTGCCTTGCAGGCCCAACAGCATGACAAACAGCCTCCATAAAAATGCTGCGCGTACCTCGGCACTTGCCTTCTTGCAAGACAGAAATAGTTTGTGACCAGAAATCTGCATAACAAATTTTTTGCAGAAGGATGGATGCCTTTTCAATATGGGGAGGGAGGATTTTTCCGGGCAATAAGTGCACTTCATGATGTGGAGTCACGGGGTGTCCCGCCCGGTGTATCAGCAGCGCGAGACGATCATTTTTGGCACGGAATTCGACGGGATCATCGACTGCGGGGAGGAGGAGTGCGATGACAAGGGCCGGATAAAACTCGTGCCGCAAAACAACGCTCTGTTGAACATTCCGCATTGGCAGTCCGAGGGGACGGGGTGCATATCCAAGAAGAAAAGATTGTAGGTGTAACTTTTTTTGCGGATCAGCATTACAAATCTGTCTGGAACGAGAGCAGAAACCTGTCATGCGCAGATAGCATGTCAAAACGCGCTTGAATGGTGGACCCTGCAATGCATGTCCAGCATGACAGACGGAATCATCTGCTCACGTGTTGCGCATCACAAACTTACACTAACAATGTTTTTTTTCTGCATAGTGGAACATCGCGAGTCAATCAGAGTTTTACTTCACGCCACCGAACTGTGACGCGACGTCGGGCTCGACTTTTACCACCGTCGACGAGTTTCGGAGAACAAGCGAACAGGGCTATGCATTGCAAAAGCATCGTACTCGTAGTTGTATTGCAATACAAATTTTTAGCTCAGCATGATCACAAACGGAACTTCTCATGCTGATTTAGCTTGAAAAAGAGATTTGTCTTGCATGACTGCAATTAGTACGAATACGATACTTTTGTACAGGATAGAGGCCCGGATTCCGCGAATTTCAACACCATGCTGAAGGACCCCCAGCAGGGGTTTCAGATATCAAATGCAAAAATGTCTGGGTCTGGAAGCTTGTTGCTGATACTTGCATTGCAAACTTGCTGCTTGTACGGCATAACAGCATGAGAAATTTCCCTCGGGTTCTTGCGGATTCATTCGTGTTTAGCATTACAAATTGCCATCCAGCACGACAAAAAAACTGGCCAATGGTATTCATGCATTACAGATCTTGTTGTCGTTGAAGTCCTGCTTCACAAATCCAGACCCAGACATTTTTACAATCCATATCAGATGCAAAGGTGCGACTTAGTCCCGGACTCCACGACGATAGGGCGGCTCGGGTTTCAGAAAATGTTCATTTCGCAGAAGATGCACAACGACTTTCCGGTTGGGTTGATCTTGGACGTTTGTTTTTCCCATAATCCTATCAAATGTAAAAATGTCTGGGTCTGGAAGATTGCCAGGTTTGTGATGCATATTTTGAATGACCCAGGATGTCTGTGATGCATCCCCTAGCATCACAAATTTTTAGAGGACTTTGTGATGCCTCTACCGCATGAGAAATGACCTCCCCACGTAGCACAAGCTGGAGTCCTTCTGCTGGTAATGCAATACAAATTTTTTTTGGAATGCAGAGACAGCATTACAAGTTTAGAATCTTCCAGACCCAGACACTTTTACATTTGATAAATCCCATCTACAACGCGACCGTGATAAATCCCGACTACAAAATCCCGAAATCTTCCGTCGCTTTGCAAAATGTGACCACGACCTTTTTCAAACTCGGCGAACTCCACATCCACCCAGTCATGATAGATTTCCCCACGGAGTTCCTGGCGTTAGAATCCCCCGCGACTATCCTGTGCAAAAGCATCGTATTCGTATTGCCATCATGCATTACAAATCTTTTTCTTAAGGCAAATCCGCATTACAAATTTTATCTCTCATGCTGAGGAAATTTGTAATGCATTTATACGAGTGCGATACTTTTGCAATTCATAGCGACTTTAACCGTACAATCCGCATGGCTGGGCACAAGCAACAACTTCCCGGAGCCGAACGAGAATTACTACGACAGCCTCGATCCCAACACAACCGATACCGACTACATTTCGCACCTACTGCCGTTAGTGGAATTCCCAACGTTGAAAATCCTGTGGGACTATGACCGAAAGTTTGGGAGTAAGGAGTGTTTTGAATACCAACAGTGGCCCTGGAAACAAGACACGGATCTGCTAGCCGCGAGGTTCCGGGCGTTAACCTTAAACGACACGATCAGCTACTCCTTTGTCCAAAACTCGGGAAATGCGGAATTACAACGGGGTTTCCCGCACCAATTAGCCGAGCCCTTCGGCTACTTCGAGGGCATCTGGTGCAAGGACAACAACACAAACTGCACTTGTATCGCAAGAAAAAAGTGTTACAGTATACACACTGTGTTGCAAGCCCGGCATGACAGACAACCTCTGTCATGCCGGATAAGCAGAAGCACAGGAGCCTTGTTGCACACGTGTTTTCCCGTAGGATTTCTGCATTGCAAGTTTTCTCGCCCATGCAGAGAAATTTGTGTTGCTGCATTGACAACAGATGTGTACTAACTGTAATACACTTTTTTCGTGGGATAATTTTGAAAGGGGTAAGAACCACGGCCGGGGATTTGCTTTTCGGGAATTTGTATGCACTGCAAAAATATCGTACTCGTATTGCAATCATGCAATACAAATTTTTTTCTCAAGGTATATCCGCATTACAAATTTTTTTTGTCATGCTGAGCAAATTTGTATTGCAATCTATACTAGCAGGATGCTTTTGCAATGCATAATTTGCAAAGAAAAATCCAGGTGATGCCGAAAGTCGCAGGTAGCTTCGCGGTGTGTTACTGTTCGCAAAGGTGTAACCAAGATTCCGCTTACTGGGTTCTCGCGGACCGACTCACCGTCGCCGGCCCCTACATGGATCCCGCGGGGAATGTTTACCGACTCACCTCGCGCGTCCAGGGCGCTTTCACGGTCCCCGGATTTGGGTTTAAGACGACGAACCGGTTGAAAATCATCCCGCAGGAGGACAGCTGCTTCCAAACGGAGAATATCAACTGCAAATATGTCTGGGTCTGGAAGAGTGCAGCGAGGTTTGTCATGCATGTCTCGCGTGACCCATGACGCCTGTAATGCATGGCCTAGCCTCACAGAGTTTTAGAAGGCTGCCTGATGCCTATTCCGCATTACAAATTCCCTCACCGCGTAGCACAAACTGGACTCCTCTTGCTGGTCTGTCATGCAATAAAAATCTTTTTAGAATCCAAACACAGCATCACAAGTTCCATCCTTCCACACCCAGACATAATATTTGGAATGCATGGAGAACATCACCCTGACTCCGACATTAAACCAGTGTTTGGTCGGGATCGGGTATCAAGAAGAAAAATCCCCCCTCTCCATGTCAAAACGAAGTTTCTGATGCTGGATTTGGGTACACAAATTAGATTTGTCTTGCTGGCGAGGACTGCAGACCGAAACGAAGCCTGAAGAGTAGAGATGCCTTGACCTAGGCACTTGTGGCATGAAAAACGTGTGTGTTGTAGGCCCCACAGCATGACAAACCGCCCTCCATAATGTGGCGGAGCCGGTGGAGTTGCCGTCTTGCAAGACAGACGCGATTTGTGGTCACAAATCAGCAACACAAATTTTCGAAAACCTACCTCGTCAATATGGGGAGGGGGGATTTTTCCTCCCAATATCGGGTGCCGGCCGCACGACATGCCGTACGGCGATGACACGGTGATGCCGGATCTGTTCCCGACCATATTGAACGACGCTACGTGGGTATCGCAAGAAAAAAGTGTTACAGTCACACTCACACATTGTGTTGCAGGCGAAGCAAGACAGACAAGCTCTGTCATGCCGGATATGCATAGGAGCCTCGTTTCATAGGTGTTTTCCCGTGATATTTCTGCATTACAAGTTTTCTCACTCATGCAGAGAAATTTGTGTTGCTGAATTCACTACAACAAATGTGTAACTGTAACACTTTTTTCGTGGGATAGTGGGCGCCGAACAACCGGTACATCACGCAGTTTCAGCGAGTGGTAGCGGATCCAGTCAACGCACCAACCGTCGGATCCACGTGGGTGACCTTCACCGGCGTGCACTTACTGAAGCCGGGGGACGTCATATGCATTGCAAAAATGTCTGGGTCTGGAAAAGTGGAACTTGTGTTGCATGTCTTGCATTCCTGAAAAATCTGTGTTGCACAGCCAGCGAGAAAGGCGCTACTTTTTCGTCCTGCAAAAACGCAGTTTATCATGCGTGCTACGTATCAGACGGCGTCAAGTATACTAATGCTTGTCATGCTTGGCTGCACTTGAAAGCGCCTGTCTTATCCAAACTTTAGCATCACTAATTTCCAGACCCAGACATATTTGCATTTGATACGTCATCCACTTCGACGACTTGATCCCCACTGCGGATCACCCGATGAAAGTGACGGATTTGATGCGGATGATTCGTATGCATTGCAAAAGTATCGTACTCGTATAAATGCAGCATTACAAATCTCCTCAGCTGCATGAGAAATAAAAGTTGTAATGCGAGGTTAGCTTCAGAAAAAAATTTGTAATGCCTGATCGCAATTACTACGAGTTAGTACGATACTTTTGCACAGGATGATTCGGGCGAAAAACGTGGGGCACAAGATTCTCGAAGTGGAAACGCTTCGGGCGCGGATCGCGTTGGATTTGAAAGGTTTTGACGATTCCTTCCCGAATAATTATGCTGTGCAAAAGTATCGTACTCGTATAAATGCAGGTCTTGCATTACAAATTTCTTTGTCAAGGCAAATCAGCATTACAAATTTCATCTCATGCTGAGAAAATTTGTAATGCATCTATACGAGTACGATACTTTTGCAGTTCATAATAATGATTATCCAACAATCAACTTCGCGAGCGGAAAATGGAGACGGACGAACGTGTTAGAAATCCCGTTTCTGTTTTCCCCGGTCGGTATCACGGGGCTAAAACTCTGTTGGTCGGATATCAAATGTAAAAATGTCTGGGTCTGGAAGGATCCAAGGTTTGTCATGCACATTTTGCATGACTCCTAATGTCTGTGATGCATGCCCTAGCATCACAGATTTTGTGAGGGCTTCCTGATGCCTATACCGCATGACAAATGCTCTTTCCGTGTAGCAAAACCTGGACTCTCTTTGCTGCTCGTGCAATACAGATTTTTTTAGAATCCAAATGCAGCATCACAAGTTCCAACTTTCCAGACCCAGACATTTTTGCAATCCATATCGGACGGGGAGGTGCAACCCGGATCCGCCTTGCAGGAGGTTCTATGCATTGCAAATATGTCTGGGTCTGGAATCAACTTGTGATGTGGCCTGGACACGCATGAGGAGGCCTGAATTGGCGTCCAAGCATGACAAGTTTTTGCGTTGCTAGGTCGTGTTGCCTATTCTGCATGGTATGCTACGCTTCCGTATGACAAAAAATGGGCTCCTGGTCCTGCTTGGGTAACGTGCATGACAGACTTAAGAGTCATGCCGGCCGAGCATGACAAACCTTACAGTCTTCCAGAAGTAGACCCCGACAGAATTGCAGTGCATAGGTTCTCTACAAGAAAGAAGCCGGGGTGTTTTTCGTCGACCCACCCCCACCACTCGGTGGGATCTCCATGGTACGCATTGCAAAGCAAGTTACTCGTGTTTAGTGCAAACTGCATCACAAATTTGCTCAGCATAAAAAATTGAGTTTGTCATGCTGTTCACCCTAGGGAAGCAGATTTGTCATGCAGATCTGCAATTTATTACTACGAGTATTATAGTTTTGCAGTGTATACATGGAGCTAACCAGCACTCTGATGGCGGTTCCCGCGCCAGTGATTATCACGTTTAAAACTTCTTCCACCACTTACTTTGAATCGGTGAAAAACGAAATGCGGTTGCGACTCGCGGTCCCCTATATCAATCGGATCGAGATGTGGAGCTCCGATGGCAGTCACAAGATAGAAAGGGATTTGGACAAAAACGAGATCCACGAACGGGATCAGGGGACGTGCGGGTACATTTTGCGGGAGGTTTGGTCGAACGACACGTCCATAGCCGATGAGTACAACGCGGTCGGAACGAAGTATGAAAAAAGGGATCTGGAAGCCGGGACGTTCCCCGTGCCTCAGGGGTGCTACTACGACATTGCCAATGAGCAGTTCGAGCTGATTGTGGTTTTGGAGAAGGGTAACGGACTGAAAAAGGACACGGAGTACCAGGTAGAGAAATGTTCAGGGCTGCCGCTGCGCCGGTTTTTCTTTTGATTTTTTTGTCATTGTCATTTGTGAACCCTCTCTAGTGAGAACGATTTTATTGCATAGATACGATGCAACTACAGCAACACAAATGATCTGTATAATTCCATACCAGATTGTCGTCTTCGCCCGTATGCTCCGGCAAGACGCGGTCTTCCAAGTGACGATTTTTGGCGACATGGAAACGGATTTTTCCCGCGTGGTCGAATTAGAAGATGTTTTCCTTTACGCATTGCAAATATGTCTGGGTCTGGAAGAATGCATGACTTGTCATGCTAGTCTGGCATGACTTTGAGGTCTGTAATGCATAGGCACGAACAGGAGCCGCCCCTCTTGCCTGTCATGCACAGACGCCATAATTTACCATACCATGCAGAATACGCAACAGCTAGCAGGTGAAAAATTTGTCTTGCTCTTCTGCCGATTCAACTGCGCTCATCAATTGCAGAGTTGCATTACAAGTTCCCAGATGACCCTCGCACAGGACATATTTGCAGTGGATATTCTTCCAAAACCCCTCCAATCTTGGAACATGTCCGAGCCGTTTTGTTACACAGGGCAGTGGGACTGCGAGCTAGGTGGATCCTTGACGAATCAGCAATACTCCCGGCGGGGTATACTCCACCCCACTCGGGGCATGATGGTCTACGCCGAGGAATCACACGAGGTGGGAAGGAATCAGTCCTTCATGTTTTTGTTGCAATCAGAGTCGAAAAACTCGGTCATCATCGGCGAGCAAATTGTCCGGATCTTCATGTGGCCATTGACCCACTGGCGACTCCCGGACACGACCACTTGCGCTTCGAAGTGTTTCAAGCAAATCGGGGCGCAGGACTACGCAGATGGTCTACCGAGGGACTGTGCCCAATTCCAGCCACAGTGCGAGATGATCCCGCTGAATGAAAACTGCACGGATACGCAAGTCAGGATTCTAGGAACCTTAATCGACGAAGATTGGCGGGACAGCCGGAACGCAAACCACACGTGTAATTTCTACAAGGAAAATTCGTACAAGGAGCTCGATCCGGACACCGGTTTAGTCCGGATAGGTGGGATGTGCTTGACCGACGGGGGGCTCTACCCGTACAAGAACAAAGTGGCCAACCAGGTTTGCTGTGCGTGTAACGGGGGATCGAGATATGAGATCAAAAAAGCGATGAAAATTTATTTACCGGCTGGAATGGAGAAGAAATCGAGAATACGGGGTTATGACGAGCAGAACATGTTTCACGTTTCCTGGTCGCATCTATCAGAGTTCACAACTCCCCCTCATCTCCCTCGTTTGTAATGCAAAAATGCTAAACCCTGTCTGAGCCTTTTGGCTGTGCTTGCATGACAAGTTCTCAAACCCCAAACTGCACTATGCTCCGTGCGTGGATTTGTAATGCAGAGACTGTATTTCTGACATGGTTTCTGTTGCTAGAAATGCACTACAAATGAGGGGGACGAGGGGGAGTTGTGCACTGTCATAGCATCGACAACCGGAGGGGTTCTTCAACACCAGGTGGGGCGTATCAGGGTGCACAACTCTCCCTCCCCCTCATTTGTCATGCAAAATTCCAAAGCAAAAGTAAAGCAAAGCTACCTTTTGCCTGTTAGCACTTTTTGCATGACAGATTCAAGAAGCCAAATTAGCACTACAATTCTCTAAAAATTTGTCATGCAAAAGCTGCATGTTTGCCGGCGCTTTTGTTGCTGTTCATGCACCACAAACGAGGTGGAGGGGGAGTTGTGCACGGTTATAGGGCGTGCAACTAACAGACCGGAACGACAGTTTTCCATCCTACACGGTAACAAGCGGCGCGTATTTGTTCCAGTCGCCCGACTACGTGACTCTGAACACGGTGACAGCGGTATGCATTGCAAACATGTCTGGGTCTGGAAGGATGCAACTTCTTCTCATGCTAAATCTGAATCATGCAAAACATCTGTGTTGCGCGACTACCAACAGCCGCCCCTTTTTACCAAGTTGATGAGAGGGAATTTCTCAGGCAGGATAGGCATGATAGAGAACTTACAGAATTTGTCATGCCAGGTGCTGCATTCCAGACCTCGCGGGTCATCCTCATCGAAAACCTCCATGCAAATCTGACATCCTTCCAGACCCCCGACACATTTGCATTCGATAAGCGGCCATTGTGAACAAACGCGGCTACGTATCCCACGAAAAAACTGTTTCACTGTGATGACTTTGCAAGATCTGCATCACAAGTTTCTTACACATGACGCAGAAAATTTGGCATGCGCGCTTGCAAAGGGAAAACGCCCTTAGAGAGTCAAGCTCTTGCAGGTGTAGCAAGACAAAGAGTTCTGTGTTCCATTCTATGCATCACAAGTTCACAGTGAAACAGTTTTTTCTTGCGATACTACGTCGACCCGTTTCCGTTCGCGGAGGCGAAGGGGAATATCCTGAGCAAAAACCTCCCCAACCCATAGTCAAGTTGGTAAATCTGCAACAAAAATCGCCAAGCTTTGGGAGTTGTGCATGACACGTTTGTCCTCGTAGTGTAATCCTGTTTAGCTAGTGGAGCAGCATCACAAATCTAGCACATCGCGCCGGTTTTAGCATCACAAATCCCAGAGAACGACTCGAAAACGCTTATTGGGGCTCCGCATGAGAAACTTTTTTGGCATGCGCATTTGCATTACAGCTCTGGGGTGGGGACGTTTTTGTTGAGGATGGGCAACGCGTTTTACCTACGGTTCGTCCTCCCGTATTCTTTATCGCCCAGCACGGTGTGGAAATTAAACTTACCCGTTGGGTATAAATGCAACTCTCTCTCCCCGGTCGCGAACGATTTTCCCTACATCAACGACACCAGCACGGGCCATGTGCGGTACAACGGGCAGGTCGGGGCGGAGATGATCACGTACGATAAGAATAAATGCATCATCACACTCGATTCCCGGTCGCGGTTCTACCAAAAACAGCGGTTCTGGTTCTACCTCCAAGTGGACAACCCAGCAGACCCGCTGTCGAAGTACGACAGTACCAATTTCTGGGAGTGGGTATCCTATGTAAAATCGTCCCCACGAACCCATAGTCAAGATGCAGAATCGGCTAGACAAATCCGCAAGCTTTGGCTGTTTTGCATGACAGATTTGATGGGCTCGTATTGTAGTGCTGCTTGAGGTACTGCAGCAGCATCACAGGTCTAGGTATATCGTGCTAATTGGAGCATGACAAATCCCAAAACACGACTAGAAAATGCTTCTCATGGGGCTCCCGCCCATGAGAAACATTTTCAGCATGCAGATTTGCACTACAACTCTGGGGTCGTCGTGGGGACGTTTTTAAATACGATAGTGGGAAATCACTTCCGCCGGGGACATGGTGAACGGGATAACCCCGGATGAGTACAAGGTTATGAACTGCAAAAGCATCGTAGTAGTTGCAATCATGCACATACAAATCTCCATCCCAAGGCAAAACAGCATGACAAATTCCATTTGTCATGCTGACCGAATTTGTGATGCGATTTCTACTTAGCACGATGCTTTTGCAATGCATAAAGGTTCAGTCTTTACAGAACGGGGGTCTTGGCGTCCCAGCGGAGTTTAATGAGATGCTCTATCAAATGCAAATATGTCTGGGTCTGGGAGATTGCGAGGTTTGTCATGCTACTCTGGCATGACTCTGAGCTCTGTATTGCGTGGCCGCGAAGAGCTTCTGCTGTTCCCTGTCATGCAAAAACGGCAAAAACGCAGCCTCTCATGCAGAATACGCAACTCAAAACCACAGAAAAACTTGTCATGCTAGGCAGCGCATTACAGTGCTCTCACTATTCCCTTCCTTGCATCACAAGTTTCCAGACATAGTTGCAACGCATATGCTCGCGGAAACAACCAGATTAGGGGCGAACTACTACGCGCCGCCTTTATTTGTATCAAATGCAAAAATGTCTGGGTCTGGAAGATTGCGAGATCTGTCATGCTTGTCCGGCATGACCAAAAAGTTTGTGATGCGTGTCCAAGAAGAGACCCTTTTGCCTGTCATGCAAAAACGCAGTTTGTCATGCGAAACACGCAACACAAAGAAGCGCAGATATTTCTCATGCTGGGCTGTGCATTACAGAGCGTTCCCTATTCCCAGCGCAGCATTACAAGTTTCCAGACCCAGACATTTTTGCATTTGATAATTTGTCGACCCGAACAACTACATGTTTCACGTTTATCCCTTATGCAATACAAATTTCCCGCACATGTCTAAAATGCATGACAAATCTTTTCGGTAACTTGGAGTGCTGTCCAGCTTGTCATGCTAACTAAGGTTGAGGGCAAGCTTTGTGATGCAGAAACAGTAGTTGCAGTAGTTGTACGTGTACGGGAAATTTACTGTGGACACCCCTTCGCCCCGATCATGTCGGAAAGAAATTCCTGGCCGCTGAACCCGAGTAGGAATAGCAGCAAGGTGATGCAGTCGCTGATAAGCCCGGTGGAGCAGCCACATTCGCTCCAAGACGTGGTGATTTATTCTCTGCAAAAGTATCGTACTTGTAGTTGTATAAATGCATTACAAATTTTCTCAGCATGAGAACTGGATTTTGTCATGCTGTTTTACCTTAAGGACAAGATTTGTCATGCATAATTGCAATTAGTACAACTACGAGTGCGATACTTTTGCAATGCATATGATTCTAGGCGAACCCTACCGGTTGGTCTTACCGAACGACTACTTGTGGACGCGGAACTTCACGGTGCTCGGGACGTTGGTACAGAGATCGGCGTTATTACAGCCATATCAACGGCAAATGTGTCTGGGTCTGGAAGAAAGCAAGCTTGTCATGCTTGTCTCACATGACTCTTAAATCTGTAATGCATGAGCAGAAATGCATCCTCTTAGCTGTCATGCAAAAATGCAGTTTGTGTTTGACATGCGTGGCTGCGTAACACAGTGCGCCCACCATTCGCCAACTAGCATCACAGGTTTCCAGACCCACACATATTTTCAGTTCATAAGCCAGTCCACCTCCAGTTCAACAAGCAAACGGTTTTCCAGGTTATGGAATGCAAAAGCATCGTACTGTAGTATAAATTGCATTACAAATTAGACCAGCATTACAAATTTATTTTGTAATGCTGATCTACCTTGAGAAAGAGATTTGCAATGCATAAATGCGATTACTACGAGTACGACACTTTTGCAATGCATACAGGTGTTTTTCAAACTCAACCGGAAACAAACCGTGCCGAACGGGGGGTTAAGATTGGATTTCCCGGACGGGTTCTTGGTAATGGAGGTTTGCTACACTTTTGACATCCCGGAGATGTACTCCAGACATGTGTACCAACAAATGTATTCCACGGTGTTTGAGCCAACCTATTCCGTCGGGCAAATCCTTTCCTGTCGAGGGAGTTACAAAATTCCGCGGATGGATCAGAACCCAAAGGTGCCGCATTTCGACCGGGCGACGATATTATTAGGCGACCCCCTCTTAATCGGGTACACCTACGCGTTTGAGATCGTGATCACCCCGCCGACCTACGACTACTATCAAACGTACCTGAAGCCGACCATTGACGCGAGTTTGAGTAACCCGAACGGGAACAAATACGTCTTCTCTTTGTCGACGTTGAGCCCGGTGGGCGAGGCACTGGAGATGACTTATTCAACTTTGGCGTTCAACCCCATGGAGTATATCTACGAAACGCCGACGGAGCAAGACCCGTCAACCGGCACCCACGACAGTTTCCCGTTACACCAGTTTGAACTGATTCACCCGGATTACATCTTACACGACCCGAGACCCTACTCCTTGACGAAAACACCAACCCCCATCACGATCCACAACTTGGTTTTAGGTGGGTTGTCGGGGATTTTAAAAGTCACCGCGCCGATTGGGTACGTGTGGGACTGGGAGGCGGCGAAGTTGAACAGTTACTGGACACAGTGTAGGAATTGCAAAAGTAAATCGTACTAGTATGAATTGCATTACAAATTGGCTCAGCATTACAAAGAAAATTTGTATTGCGAATTTACCTTCGCAGCTAGATTTGTAATGCATAAATAAGTGCAATTCCAATTCGTACGAGTGCGATACTTTTGCAACAGGATACAGTGGGAACTGTCTTTAGAGCCGTATCTGAACAAACCGTACACGACGGAGATTGCGAAAAATTCCACGGAGTACTACAGTACAAACTTGACAGTGAATGTATGGCGTTCTCAAACGTTACATTCTCAGCTGTTACATGAATTTGCAATGCAAGACTAGCACAGGTGAGAGAGAGAGCCTTGCGCGTCTTGCATTACAGGTTTGGTGCGGATTACAGTGCTATTTAGCCCTCCTGGAATTTGTCATGCGAAGCAGCTCGATCGTCTGGCGGGTCATGGTGATTTTGCATGACAAATCGTGTAACAGTTGAGAATGTAACGTTTGAGAACCCCATAGAATGGGACTTTCGAAGACTGTCCGGTCCCGATAACCCCAACCGGCCAGTTCAACAAAAGAGACAGCAACGTGTTGCTTTTCAACGACCCGGGGTGTAAATGGGAAAACGGCAAGGTGTTCGCGTTCAGGACCTGGATCCAAGTACCGGACTACAACCCGGTGACTTCAACAACAAGATGGTACGTGGAAATCGTCAACGCGACGGAGCCGGGCTCATTAGCGAGTGCTAACGACGGGTCCATCGTCAGGCCGCATGACAACGTGCGGAGTTCCGATGTGTACGCGACAATGCTGGCAAAGGACGTGGCGGTGATCCGGAATTTCGCGGTCTCTATGGACAACGTGATGCCGTACGGGTTTGGAAATCTCACGTTTGAATTCGAGTTGACTCAATCACTACCGATCAACGGCACCATTGAAATATCACGAGAAAAAAGTGTTACAGTTACACATTTGTACGGAGTTTCTGCATCACAAACTTTCTCTGTGTGGCAGAGAAAACCTGTGATGCGAAGATCCTAAAGGAAAACAGGAAGGAAACAAGGCTCCCAAGCATTTCCGGCATGAGAAAGGTTGCGTGACAATGTGTAACAACTGTAGCGCTTTTTTCTTGCGATATGAAATCGACTCCCCCTACACTTTCAACTTCACGCAATTCTACCCGTTTGACGGGTACGACGAAAGATTGAATCCGAAGCTAGCGGAGGAGCCGATGTGCAAGGTTTTTAACATGTCGACGTTGAAAACGCCGGAGCAGATCGCGGCCGAGCAGGTTGTCTACGAAGATCCGGACGTGCAGGCGCTGTCTGATCTTTCCACGAACGGAACTCGGTATTTATCAAATGTAAAAATGTCTGGGTCTGGAAGAATGCAAGATTTGTGATGCAGGTTTTCCATTACCCATGAGGTCTGGAATGCGAGACCCAGCATGGCAGATTCTTTGAGGTCTCTATCATGCCTTTCCTGCATGAGAAACTCCCTCTCAACTTGGCCAAAAGCGGACAGCTTTTGGCACTCACGCAACACAGATTTTTGCATCATTTAGATTTAGCATGACAAGTTCTAATCTTCCAGACCCAGACATTTTTGCATTTGATAGTATTTACCGGAAAACAACCCCATGCCCATCGACATCGTCTGTCGGACGGTTTACTACTGGGAAATATCCTGTGCAAAAGTATCGTGCTCGTAGTAATTGCAGTCATGCATTGCAAACTTTTTGCTCAAGGTAAATCCGCATTACAAAGTTCATTTCTCATGCTGAGGGAATTCGTCATGCATTTATACGAGTGCGATGCTTTTGCACTGCATAGGAAACCCAGGTGGTGGATTTGGAAGCGAAGTTTCTGTTTTCCGGGGTGAACCGGGCGATTTTATCGTCTCCGAAAGTCGGCCGGTTTCTGAAAGGGAAATACAGGTTGGCTTTGGAAGTGAGAAACCCGGGGCCAGATCCGGTTTTGAATTCTGTGGACAACAACATGCCTTGCGGGTACAGGAATTGCTTCACGATCATCTCCATGTTCCGGAACATTCGGGTTTTGGAAGAGTCGAAAAGAATCTTTGAAGACGATCCAAGCAGCTTTCACTCGACCCCCTTTATGTGGCTGAAAATCGCGGAGCCGTACCCGTTGGAGATCCCTGGATCCGCGGATATTCCCTGGATCAACTACGGGGATAACGTGTTTCTCGCCAGTTATCTACAGAACCCGGCCAATCCCAACGCTTTAACCGGTTTCGACCCCTACAAAGCGTATCTCACCGGGACGAGCCGGTGGCTTTCCTTGTCCGACCGAATTGTGGAGTACCAGTACGAGAAATTTGCGTCCGTTCGGATGCCGGAGATCCGCTACGCGATGAAGTCTTTTCAAATCGTGGAAACGACCGATTTCGATGAAATCCGCGCGACGGGCAGGTGTGACCGGCCGGGGTGTAAAAACTCTATTATTCTCGTCTTCCACCTAGCCGGTTGGGCGACGCCCGGGTTGATCTACAACTGGGAACTCATCTACCAAGCGAACGAAACCACCGGCGGGGCGGTGATCACCGACGAAGACATTCGGGATATCACCCTCTGCCCGAACTGCACCTACCCGGGCACTGTGATCGTCGATACGAAGCCGGACGACCAACCACCCAGGTTCCCCGGCGGGGTGATGCGGGTCATCGCCCCACGCGGGTTTGAGTTCACGCTGGATTGTGTAACCCATACGAATTACACGTACGATTTATTCCCCGGGCTGGGGGATGACTACTGGAAGCACCACGCGATGTTGAAAGACGCGGAGGAGTGGCCGGTATCAAAGTGAAAAAGTCCCCACCCCATAATATTAAAAATATTCAAAAGACAATTTGTGTTGCTGGATTTGTGTACACAAGTAAGCTTTGCATTGCTGTAAGAGCTTGCCGGCATATTCTAAGACCATTTGGGTACGCATCCGGCTAGCAGCTGAGCATGAGACACAAGTCTGGCATAGGGGAAAACGCATGACAGACTCGCTGTAAAATGGGCCACATGGGTGCCATTTGCCTTGTACGCAAGACAGAGTTGATTTGTGGTCACAAATCAGCATCACAAGTTTTCTTTTCGATATGGGGAGGGGGGATTTTTCCTTACGATAGCCGGTTGGGCACGACTACAAGTGTTTTGGGGAAGACAACATTCTGTACCTATGGAATGCAAAAGCATCGTACTCGTAGTAATTGCAATCTTGCATTACAAATCTTTTTCTCGAGGCATATCCGCATTACAAATTTCGTTTCTCATGCTGAGAAAATTTGTAATGCATTTATACGATGAGTGCGATACTTTTGCCATGCATAGTATCTAGACACGGACAACGCGACCTTCGCGCCCGCGCAGAAGTACGTATCAAATGCAAAAATGTCTGGGTCTGGATGAGTGCATGTTTGTCATGCTTGTCTGGCATGACTCTCAAAATCTGTCATGCGCGTTACCCAAGAGCGCCATTTTTCTGTCAGGCAGAAGCGCGGTTTGTCGTGCAGAATAGGCAACGCCTAGAATCTCAGAAACTTGTCATGCTGAGCCAGCACTTGTGGCCTCCTCACGATACGCAACCCAGCATCACAAGTTTCAGACCCAGACACTTTTGCATTTGATAGTACGCACTGCGGATCGACATCGAGAAAAACCCGCCCGGGATATTGACCAAGTCCGCGAACATGTGGGGGCTGAGGTTTATGCAGCAGTCCGCCGGGGCGCAGGGGTTCGAGGCGTGGAGCTGGCGGAAATTGGAAGTCACCCCCATTTCGACCACAATCGGCGGGCCGGACGCAACCCCAGTCGCGATCACTTTCTCTCCCTGGACGGCTTTGCGGGGGAAAGCGACGTTTCCGCAGATTGTTAGAACCGTGTCGAATTACGAAAAATCAAATCACACGCATGATCATTTGAACGACACCTACCATGAGCACGAAGTGCTAGTCTCCCAGACGACAACGGTGACAACGGAGCCCTACTACGGCCGAGTCAGGATTTTTGCCCCCCAAGGGTTTTTCTTCGAGATCATTGATTACACAACCTACGCCTGCCGGTTTGAGATCATCCGAACCGACGACTGTTTGACCTGTGGGGTCCCGTTTATCACAGATTCGACGCACAACACGGGCGAGGTGAAGCAAAACGCGACGATCTGTCAGGTGGGGATATGCAATGCAAAAGTATCGTACTAGTATGAACCAGCCATGCTCCGGCTGCCGCCGGAGCGCAAGGCTGTTGGGCCGGGGCAAGACAGTTTGCCGATCGGACCACAACGCCACGGGCCTGCGCACAACGAAACATACTGGAGTCCTGCACAACGAAACATACTGGAGCGTGCGCCGCGCCAACCCGCAGGACCACTTGCGCGCTTCCCGCGCCTGTGGGCGCTCTGCGCGGGGAGCAGCTGAAAAGAACACCGGGGGCGAACAGAAGCCGCCCGGCGCGAGAGGGTGGCGCGGGAGGGTGGCGCGAGAGGGTAGCGCGAGAGGGTTGCGCGAGAGGGTGGCGCGAGAGGGTGCGCGAGAGGGTGGCGCGAGAGGGTGGCGCGAGAGGGTGCGCGAGAGGGTGGCGCGGAAAGGCGCCGAGCAAAACAAGTCCGCGAATGGCCTGCAATTCCAAATATGGGGAGTGCCATGCGGATTCGCGCCCGCTTGGGTGTGCTTTTACCCTCTCGCAGCCCTCCCGCAGACCCTCTTTTTGGCCTCTTTTGGGGGTCCCCGCTAATAATCCGGCTATACTCGCGGGTAGAGGTCGACAGAGGTGGCCGAGAGGTGGCCAAGAGGGTCCGCGAGAGGTCGCCCCTTATTCGCGCCACCTCTCTCCACCTCTGTCGACCTCTCGCGCCCCCTCTTTTTGACCTCTCTGCACCCTCTCAGGCACTTAGGCGGCGCTTTAGGGTGAGCGCTTCGGCGGGCCATACTCGCGCACCCTCTCGCCGACCCTCTCGAATGGGGTCCCGCGCCACCTCTCAACCTCTGTCGACCTCTTTTTTACCTCTTTTGACCTCTTTTTGACCTCTCGGCCACCTCTTGTTTACCCTCTGTCTACCTCTTTTTTCGCATGAATATAATATATAGTAATTGCATGACAAATCTTTCCTAGAAGAAGAAAAATGAAATTTGTCATGCAGATTCAGCTAAGGAAGCAGATCTGTAATGCTAGACTCGCATTTATACGAGTGCGATACTTTTGCAGAGCATAGGGGAACCCGAAATACAACGAGGCGGTCATCACTTTCACCGGTTTGGACGGGTTTAAGGGGAAAGCAATGTACCACTACAGTATCACGTTGTTCATCTTCAACCCGCGGATCTTGACTCTGAAACCCGTTCCGTGGAGATTCGTCACGGATGTCATGGACGTCCCCTTACGGGCGAAATTCGGCTACGACCACTGGATACGAAATGCAAAAGTGTCTGGGTCGTCTGGAAGAGTGTGAACTTGTCATGCAGGTTTTCCATGACCCGCGAGGTCTGGAATGCGGGACCTAGCATGACAGACATTCTGTGAGATCCCTATCATGCCTACCCTGCATGACGAGAAACTCCCTCCCAACTTGGTCGAAAGTGGACAGCTTTATTTGGCACTCGTGCAACACAGACTTTTGCATGGTTCGGATTTAGCATGACAAGTTGCAATCTTCCAGACATCCAGGGATATTTGCAATCCATACTGGATGGAATTTGACGAAACCTTTTTCGGCGGCTACAACATCCAACTCCCCGCGCCTCTGTTTCAGGTCCAAGTCCCGGCGGACAAACGGGGTGCGATTTTGCAAACTTCCGATCAGCTGATCCGGTTCCGGTTTACAGACCCTGTGAAGTTAAACGACCGGATTATCATCCAGGCACCGGCGGACTACTATTTCGAGGACATGAGCCTACCAGTCCGGGGGAAGTGCTTAGGATTCCGCTACGACCCGGCAGTCATGAAGTTCAACGACACGGTATCCTGAGCAAAAACGTCCCCACCCCATAGTCAAGTTGGCAAATCTGCAACACAAATCTCCAAGTTTTGGCTGTCGAGCATGACAAGTTTGGGCTCTTAGTGTAATACTTAAAAAAATCCTGTGTGTTAGCTAGTGCAACAGCATGACAAATTGACTTCCTTATCCTCATTCCAGCATGACAAGCTCCGCGATAGCATTAGAAAACGGCTGTCATGGGGCTGCGCATCAGAGACATTCTAGGCTTGCGTATTTGCATGACAACTAAGGGGTGGGGATGCTTTTGTTCAGGATACACGGCGAACACGACTGCGCCGGAGGACGAGCCGGAAAATCTTGCGTTAGTATCCAAGAAAAAAACTGTGTAAGTGTAACTTTGTGTTGCAGAAAATGCAAAACTGTTACACTTGTCATGCTGGACATGCATCAGAGGCAATTTTCGTGCGCGTTTTCACGTACTAGGTACGCATGAGAGGTTTTCTGTGTCATGCAGAGCAAACTTGTGATGCTATTCCTCCAAGAAACTTACACTTACACAGTTTTTTTCCTGGATAGTTAGACCCGGATAGGAACTGCAAAAGTATCGTACTAGTAGTAATTGCATTACAGATTACTTCAGCATTACAAATGCAATTTGTCATGCTGTTTTGCCTTGGGATGGAGATTTGTAATGCACGACTGCAATTTATTTTACTACGAGTGCGGTACTTTTGCAGTGGATACCGGACATCCGACTGCAGTACGAGGGGATAGGATTCAGGATGAAATTGACGAAAAACGACAGCTGTGTCACCGTGGACAGCAACAACTTTCTGCGTATCACCGACGCTTCGAAAGTGACGCAAGTGATGCTGTGGAACCCGATGCCACTATGCATTGCAAATATGTCTGGGTCGGGAAGAGTCGGGGCTTGTCATGCACATTTTGCATGACCCGTGAGGTCTGTGATGCTGTTGATAGCATCAATGATTTTTTGAGAGCTTCTTGATGCTAATCACGCATGAGAAATTATGCCCTCTCCGCGTGCCAAGAACTGGACTGCTCCTCTTGCTGCTTATACAACACAGATATTTTTAGAATCCGCAGACAGCATTACAAGTTCCACTCTTCCAGACCCAGACATATTTGCAGTTGGTAGCCACCCGGGTTGTACCATTTCGACGAATTGAGAGACCCGTTGATGGAAAGGCCGATCGCGACTTTGCAAGATGATGCAAGAGCCGCAGTATTTGACAAGAAGCAGGGCGAGTCCAATGCCGAATACCTAGTCAGATCGCAGTCGTTCCGGATTTCTCCGCATTTGCAGAATCTGTACGGGAAAAGGTACGCGGATTTTTTGCAAGTGCAGGAGATCAACATGACGGCGAATTGGACGAAGAAGACGAGGTACCCGTTGATCCAAATGTACTCCCAGTGGACAAATTTGACAAGATACGAGTGTCCATATCGCAAGAAAAAACTGTTTCACTGTGAACTTGTGATGCATAGAATGGAACACAGAACTATTTGTCTTGCTACACCTTGAAGGCATTGGATTTTTAAGCGTGTTTTCCTTTCAAAAGCGCGCATGGCAAATTTTCTGTGTCATGTGTAGCAAACTTGTGATGCGGATCTTGCAAAACCATCACAGTGAAACAGTTTTTTCGTGGGACAGTCCAGTTGAGGATATCAACAACCGAGTCTATTACGACGAGTACGGGAATTTGATTCCAACGACCACGACCACCGTTCCACCGCAGGCAATCACCGGCTCTGCGGTGGTCGGGATCGATTTGGATCAGGACCCGTCCGCAATCTACAACGATCCAACATTATCCTACAGCCGGGATTTCGAGTACACGGACTTATTAGCGCAGAAAATGCCGGAAACGATTGATTTCGAGGGGTTCAAATACGGGAACGTGCACAGACGGCCGATCATTTCTGATGTTTTCGGGCTGGACAAGTTCAACTTATTCCACCAGCCGAACCAGATTTATTCCGAGGTGGACAAAGATGTGAGATTCTGCATGCTGTTGAAAATGCCAATTGCGTACGAGGACACGCCGACGGTAAATGCAATGGTGGACTACGGGCGGAATCTGATGCGGGAAATTATGCACTACCGGGAAAAGATCTACACGAGAAGGTATCTCGGGACAACGTTAGAGAACTTCATCGTGAAGGACCAGAATCTGAATTTGAACCAGACGCAATATCCCGCTCACTGCAGAGCTTTGGTAGAGGAGGCGAAAGAGAAGGAATACCAGGTATCGCAAGAAAAAAGTGTTAGAGTTACACATTGTATGGCAGGCCAAGCAAGACAGGCCAGCTCTGTCATGCCGGATACGCATAGAAGCCTCGTTTCATAAGTGTTTTCCCGTAGGATTTATGCATTTACAAGTTTTCTCTCTCCTACACGAAAAATTTGTGTTGCTGAATTCACTACAAGTGTGTACCTGTAACGGTTTTTTCGTGGGATACCAGGCTTTGCTCGATTACTGGATGAACGATGTGAACACGACGACTACGACAAGTACAACTGTCAACATCACCGCGATGGTCATCGCTGGCCAACTCGACGCCAGCGCTTTAACCTCCACCACGACCATATGGATGTGTCAGAGTTGAAATCGACAAAGTTGAAATAATTTGTCATGCATAAAATGGATGCCAGTTGGAAGCCAGTTTCCAAGTGGCGCATGACAAATTTCGGCGGTCCCTAAATCCAGGCTGTCATGCTGTTTAGGCAAAGACGAGTGATTTTCTCATGCTACCTTAGCAGCTCGAGCTGTAACCCCAAACAGGCTTACAATCGGCCCCACTTGCCTGCTCTGCAACACACGTGCCTCGGGTCATGCATTTTATGCATTACAGATTATTTCAACTTTGACGATTTCAAACCTGACACATCCATAGACCACCACCACGACCACGGTGTATGGGGATATGCAACACAAATTTTCCGATGCCGTACACGACGTGCAAAATGCATCACAGCTTTGATTGTAGTTCGCCTTCGCCAACCTGAAGCATGAAATTTGTCGTGCTGGTTAGGGTTGGGGAAGACAACTTGTCATGCAGAAAGACCAGCATTGGCACGCGCACGTGTACGGCTACGGAAGTTTGCATATGGATAGGTGATGAGTGCGGTCTTTCCAAATGGCACGAAATGCCGGACGTTGGGCGAGAGCTCGCTTTGTTGAACCAAATTGACACGAGCGGGAAGGGGCAGCATGGACCGGAGATTTTGGAGTTGTTGGAGAAACAGAGGTTGATGCTGAAGTTAGGACAGTACGTCGAGCCGGTGACCACTACGCAACCACCACAACAATCCTCGTCTTCGGATACCACTACCACGACCCCAGAACCACCGGGCTTAATCACAGACGATAAGCACGAATTGCAAATTATCATTCTCCACCCGTATTGCTCGGATGTCCACGTCACAAACCGATCGATGCTGTCGTGCAACACCAGGTTTGAAGCGAACCCGCGATTCACTTTCGAGAACCAGACGACAGAATACACGGATAGTGAGCAATTATTTCCAATCTACAAAGCGGACGAGTACGAAGATTGGCAAAGAGTATCAACTGCAAACATGTCTGGGTCTGGAAACTTGTGATCCTGGCTGCACAATCTTGAGGACGTCCCAATTGGTGGCCACGCATGACAAGTTTTTGAGCTGCTAGGTGTTGCCAATTCTGCATAAGTATGACAAAGTGCGTGTGCGTTTCCGCATGAGAGAAAACTGGAATGCTTGGCTAACGCCCATGACAGACTTGAGAGTCATGCCGGGCGAGCATGACAAGCTCTGCATTGTTCCCGACCCAGACATAAATATTTGCAATGCATAAAGGGGTTATTACGGCGATTCCGTTTGCTCCAACATGATTCTAAACTCAGAAGGGCAGGGCGCAGCAACCGGATCGCCCTTCGGGAATGGCACCTACGATTTCTATGAGACAGGGGAGAATTTGGATTTCGGCGGAAACGAGACGGTTTTGTGGGACCAGGTGTATGGGTCCAATCCTTTTTACTTGTATCGGCCGCCGGACCCGATAGTCGGTGGGGATGGAGCTTCTGATAACGGGATGAGTGGTCTGTTAACAGATGGAAATTCCACCAACGACAGCAACGGAACTGACGATTTGACGACAAATCCGCCCATCATCGACCCTCTCTCCCTAATAGTCTACCCACCGGACGATCCAGAAACCTTTTATAACATAGAAAACCGACCCACCTGGTGGAAACAAGCAAAAGGAGCGCCAGATTACCTCTTCTTCCGGGCGAGGTTCGTGTTTTTAACCAACGTTTCCATGTCGGAATCAGAAGCGACTGCGCAGCGGTTGAAACAGTTCGTGATAAGGCAGGACCCGGTATGTTTCAACAACCAATTGAGGTGGGAACGGATCGCGGAACTCCACCCGCGGGTGGATTTGGACATCGGTTATTTAGGCGAGCTGGGCGTTTTCGTCCGATATCGGAACGCCGCGAGGAGGCCTTATGGGTTTGAGAATTATTGGTTCGCGACGCACTTCAAGGGAACGGAGGACAGATTCGGGAATTTCGCATTCACGAAACAAATATCCTGTGCAAAAGTATCGTACAACTCGTAGTAATTGCAATCATGCATTACAAATCTTTTCCTTAAGGCAAATCCCCATTACAAATTTAATTTCTCATGCTGAGGAAATTTGTAATGCATTTAAGTATACGACTACGATGCTTTTGCAGTTCATAACGAAGCGAAAAAGCCGTCGCGAGCTGGGACATTGAAACGCAGATGTTCGTATCCTATGTAAAAACGTCCTCACCTCGTAGTCAAGATGGGAAATCTGCTACATAAATCACCAAGCTTTGGCTGTTGCGCATGACAAATTTGGGCCCGTAGTGTAGTCAGTCGTGTTTAGCTAGTGCAGCAGCGTCACAGATCCTGTTCATCATGCTGATTTGAGCATCACAGATCTAAATAAACATCACTACTAGAAGAAGCTTCTCATGGGTCTCCGCATGAGAAACATTTTAAGCATGCAGATTTGCATATACAACCGTGGGGTGGGGACATTTTTACACAGGATAGCTCGCGGTCAGGATTGATTTCATCGCGGGGACCATTGCGAACGCGACGATGCTGGTGCAGTTCACGCTGCAGGGCGAGTGCGATTCGATCAGCATCAAAGCGGTAGAGCCAGACGGGTTCCGATTCGACAAGGCGACGGTCGAGTCGCTGGGGACGCCGATAGACCCCGAGGAGTATTTATCAACTGCAAAAATGTCTGGTCTGGAAGGATGCGAACTTGTGATGCATGTTGCGGATCATACAGAAATCTGTGTTGCGTGACTTGCAAAAGGTCCCCACTTCTGGCCATGCTGGTGAGAGGCCATTTCTCATGCAGTATAGGCATCACCAAGGGGCTGCAGAACCTGTGATGCTAGGCCCTGCATTCCAGACTCGGCGGAAATTGGAAAAACTGCATGACAAATTTCGGAATCTACTTCCAGACCCAGACATACTAGCCAGGGGGAAGGAATCTCTATCCCGAAGCGAAATCGAGAGCACTGGGAGGGGGGAAGCAGAACTAGAAGGAAAGGACGGGGGGGAAGGGTACGGGTGTGTCAGCTAGTCAGTTTCAGGTAGCCACTGGGGTCCTGGTTGTTTCGATGAGATTCGAGACGCGGCCGCTCTGCTCTTGGCCAAATTATATATTTGCGGAGCTCTTGCGGATAATTCTGGCTATGGAGCGGCATTTAACTTGGCAAGTCGCTGGCTGCCGATCTTATTTTTCC